CTGAACACCAACGTGGTACTTGGCATGAAATGTCAGGGTCTTTTCTGACGGGTGAGCTGCGGCCCCAGCACGATGAGAAGGCAGACACTTACCGTCCCATACTTAAGTAGTGTAGGCACTGCCGTCACCTTCAGGTTTTTCCTGAAGTCATTATTCGGATCCTTCCAACTGTTTTGAAAAGAAGAGGTGATGGTGGTTTCTCACAGATAACATTCGATCTATTCCTGCGTTTAGTCTTTTAGTAATCCTTGTTTTTGTCGTAAACGTTTACCGAACCTTGAGGACTATGACTTTGTGACTCTGCACTTTTCCTTTAGAGCCTGACTACGATATAAAGTACATGTAAAGACCGTTGAGTTCTGAACTAATACCAGGCCAACTTTACTGAATTACCCATACCACAAGTGGCTAAATGCAGCAGCTCCCAAGGGCTTGCCTTACCCGGCTACACTGAGAAGGGAGAACCTTTGTCCCGAGGCCCCTCCCGCCCAAGCTGCACGTCTAGTGCGTGCCTGGGGAACAAGGAGTACGCGGGCACTTACTAGGGTCTCTCCCCCACTTGGCAGTAGATGAACACACAGCCTTCACTGACATGCTTCAGCCCCTCTCGTACGACCGGCTCGGCTTAAGACAAAAAGACAAAATAGTGGCATACCCGCTGTGGCCGCTGGCCCGGAGAGGCCGCGTCCGGGACAGGGCGCAGCCCTTCACCTGCAGGTAGCGGAGGGGCCTGATGCGGGCCACGCCGACCCACCGGCCCCGGGGGAACGCGTCTCGCGCCGCGGCAGCGCGCATGCTGGGGCCTGGGCTGGCGGCCGGGCCCGAGCAGGGGCGCCCGGGGGCCGGCTGGGAACGGGAGGCGAGCCGCCCCGCGCGCCCTCGTGCGCCCTCCCCGCCCCCCGCCCGGGCCGCGGCCTGCCGGGCCGCCGCCGTCCGCGCAGCAGCTCCCCGAGCGCCGCCTCACCGTGCACGCAGTCGGGGCACCAGCTCTTGCCCCCGGCGTCCTTGGAGCCGGTGAAGTAGGCGAAGATGGTCTTGCCGTGGTGCCGCTCCACGGCCCGGCGGAACTCCTCGAAGCCGGACACGCTCACCTCCTCGCAGCCCGCCATCGGGAGGGCGCGCCGCGCTCGGCCGCCCGGGGCCCCTGGAGGCGCGGCCGCGGGGCGGGGCCCCGAGCGCGGCGGGGCGCGGCTGCTTCCGCCGGGAGCCCGCGGCGCCACGGGGGCCTCGGGCGGCCAGGGCGCGCCCGCGCCGCCTTCCTGCGCCCGCTGCGCCTTGCTGGCCCCGCCGGCGCCGCGCAGACAGTCGAGCCTCTGCCCCGGCGGCCGCGGCCCCGGCCCCATGTGCGCTGGCTGCCACGCCCGCCGCCGCCGCGCAGCCCCGGGCCCCCCGGCGCCGGGCCCCCTAACGGCTCCCAGGCCGCCCCGCGCCGGTCGCTATGGCGACCGGGCGAGCGGCCGGAAGCGCGGCCTAGCGGGTCCCCCTCCCGCTTCCCGGTAGCCGCGCCGCGCCCGGGCCAGGTGGGCTCGGGCCGGGGCTGGGGGGGTCCTGGGACGCCGCGCCAGGAGCCGGGGAGCCGGGGAGCCGGGGAGCCGGGGCCGCGCCCGCCCCTCGCGCCCCTGCCGCGGCCGGGGGGCGCCGGGGGGGCCCGGGGCGCGGGGCGCGGGGCGCGTGCGTGCGTGCGGCGGGCGGGGAAGGCGCGCGCGGCCCTGCGGCCATGAGCGGGGCGGCCGGCCGCTGCGTGGGGCCCAGCCGGCCGGGGCGCGGGCGCGGGCGGCCGTGGGGCAAGAGGTGCGCCGCGGGGACGCCCCGAGGGCGGGGAGCCGGGCGCCGGCCGCCCGGCGCGGCCTGGGAGACGCGCTGTGTGAGCGCAGAGCGGCTGCGGGACGGTCGGCGGCCGCGGGGCAGAAGGGCCGAGGCCGGGGCCGCAGGCGCGAGCGAGCCGGGGGCTTCGGGGGCCCGTGGCGCTGCCGGCCCGGTTGAGGCGGCGGGGGACCCTGGGGCCGTGTGGGTGGACGGGGCTGTGGGGCAGCCGCAGGTGGTGGGGCCCGTCGGGTCAGTGTGGGTGACCGGCGCCGGCGGGCAGGAGGAGGGGGCGCCCTCCCCGAGTCCCCGGGGCTGCGAGCGGAAGGGCCGCCCGGGCTCCACGGGGCACGAGAGCATTCTGGAGCTGTGGCTGAAGGTGCAGGCTATGCGGGCAGCGTCGGGCTGTGGGGAGGGAAGCAGGGTGGAGCTCCTCCCGGTGCCTGCAGGGGACGGCCCGGTTGAAAGGGGTGTCCCCGGCCGGGCTTCCTGGGTAGAGACGAGCCGGGCTGGCCTCACAGGACCCTGGGTGAAAGGACGGGCCAGGGCGGCCCCCGGGGCCCCTGGAGGAGCTGCAGCTATGGGGCTCGGGGCAGCTTGTGGGATGGCCTCGGGCCTGCTTTTTGGGGGTGTGCCTGCGGCCCTGGGGACGAGTTCCGGGATTATCCCCTACCTGCTGGGGAGAGGACAGGCCCTGGGGGTGCCCGGAGCCGTGGGGTGGCCTGAGGCTGTGCAGAGAGAGACGGGCTGTGGGGCCTCTCCGGGTGTGTGGGACAGGGGCCAGCCGGTGCAGGTGCCGGGGGCGCTGGTCCGAGAGGCGGTCTGTGGGGACACCGTGGGCCTGTGGGGAAGGGGACAGGCTGGGAGGGTGCCTGATGCTGTGGGGGCGCCCAGAGGCACGGAGGAGGACGCGACCTCTGTGGGTGCCCTGGGCATGTGGTGGAGGAGGCGGGCTGTGGAGGGGGTGGGCTCTGGCGGTGTTCCTGGCGTATGGGGTGCTGGACAGCCTGTGGGGGCGCCTTGTGCTGTTGAAGAGGAAGCCAGGTGTGGGGCTGACGCAGGGTTCAGGGAAAGGGGACAGAGCGTGTGGGTAGAGACTGGGTCTGGAGGTGACCCGGGGTCATGGGCAGCCACACAGACCACGGAGGTAGGTGGCCGTGATGAGCAGGAGGTAGGCTCTGGGGGTGCTCCAGGCCTGTGGGGTATGGGGCCGGGAATGGGAGTGCCTCTGGCTCTGGGGAAGGAGACAGGCTGTGGGAACCTCCCGGGTCTGTGGGCGACCGGGCAGCCTGTGGGGGTGTCCCAGGCTGTGGTGGTGCCACCAGGAGCTCCAGGGGAACAGGTGAGCTACGGAGGTCTCCCCGGCCAGTGGGAGAGGCAGCAGGCTCTGGGGGTGCCTCTGGCCGATGCGGTGGCCGGGCTTGTTGGGGAGGACACAAGCTGCGGCCACGTCGTGAGCCTGTGGGAGGGGAGGCCGGCTATGGGGGAGCAAGAGGCCCTGGTGCCTACAGCTTTAGGGGTGCCCGGGCCTGCAGATCGGGAGGCCGGCTGTGGCGACGGGTCCTGTGTGTGCAGAAGGAGACAGGCTGTGGGGTGGCCTGAGCCAGAGGGCATGCCCAAGGCCGCGGTTTTGCCCAAGCACAGGTGTGCCCCGGCAGGGGTCCCCCCAGCAGCGGGTACGCCCGGGCCTGGAAGGGTGCCTGCCGCGGTGTGGGTGTCTGGCCCTGTGTGTCAGGAAGGCAGCTCCAGAGATGTCTTGAGCCTGTGGGAAAGGATCCGAAGCGCCGCAGTGCCCGTGGCTGCAGGGGTCCCCGCGGCCCCCGAGGAGCTGTGGTGTGAGCATGAGGACACTGGCTCTGCCGCTTTCCCCGGGTCGTGGGGAAGGAGACAGGCTGTCGGGGTTCCTGAAGCGCCTGGGCTTGTGGGGGAGGAGACAGACCCCGGGGGCGTCCCGAGATCTTGGGGAAGGAGACCGCGTGCCAGGGCGCCTGGGGCTGCCGAGGTGCCCACGGCTGCCGGGGTGCCCGGTCCTCTGGGGTCGGAGGCCGGCCCTGGGGGTTTCTCAGGCTTGCCGGGAAGGAGGCAGACCGCAGGGGTGTCCACAGCTGGCGGGGTGCCCGTGGCCCCCAGGACACCTAGGCCTGTCCCGGAAGAGTCTGCGCCTGGAGGTGTTGCAGGCCTGTGGGGGGAGCGGGAGATAGCACGAGGACCAGCAGACGCCTGGGCTTCCACAAGGTTGGGGGTGCCCAGCACCGCCAGGATGCCCGCGCTCACGGGGGAAAGGCTGGGCCCCGGCGGCCCCTCAGGCTTGTTGGGAGGGAGATGGGCGGCTGAGATGCCCGCGGCTGCGGGCCTCTCCGTGGCTGTGGGGGCCTCTGGGCCGATGGTGGCCGATGCCAGCTCTGGGGACACTTCAGGTGTGTGGGGACAGAGATCGGTGATGGAGGTGCCCGCTGCTGCCGGGGCTGCAGGACCTGCTGATGGGGCAGGTGGTTCCGACGGTGTCTCAGGCCCGTGGAGAAGGAGAGCCAGTGGACCGGCCGCTGAGGCCCTGCGGGCGCCTGTGTCTCTGGGGGTGCTCGCGGCTGTAGGGGTTCCCACGGCGGGGCACGCGCCTGCCGCGGTGTGGGTGACCGGGTGCATGGGGGAAGAAACGGCTGCGGCTGCCTCGGGCCTCCCCGCGTTGAGGAGACAGTCCCTGGAGGGAGCTTCGGGGGCGGGGGCGGGAGGCCTGAGTCTGGAGCTGACGGCGGGGAGCCAGGCGGGGGGGCTGCCTCGCACCCACGGCTGCGGGACCAGGTCATGGAGCTGCCCGAGGCCTGGCGGGGGAGACGCTGACCAGGAGAGCCTGTGCGCCGTGTCAGGGCTCAGAACCGCAGTGGGGGCACCCCCGGGTTCAAGGCCGGAAACAGGCATGGGCCGGTTCAGGGATCACCGGCAGCAGAGTGGGGGGGGGCAGGCCGGCGGAGCGTCTGGAGCTAGGGGGAGGGGGAGCCCTCTGGGAGAGCACCGTGTGGGGGAGGACAGGTTGAGGGGGGCCTTCCAGTAGTATGTTAGGGAGCAAGTGGGGGGGTCCTGGGCTCTGTGGGAGGGGACAGGTTGGGGGGAGGTGTGGCCTGGGTTATGGACCAAGACACAGGTTGTAGGGGTGTCTCAGGATCACGGAGAGAGGCTTCGTAGCGATGTCCTAGGGGATGTTGGGTGACAAACTGGGTTTCCTGGAGCAGTGGGGTGGGGACAGGTTGCAAAGAGAGGGGTGTCCCAGGCATTTGTACAGGGGTCAGTGTGGGGGTGGGTGTCCCTGGACTGTGTGTGTTTGTGTATGTGCGTGCAGGTGTGTGTGTGTGTGTGGCGTCACTTGAGGGGTCACCTAGTGTTTCCTAGCGGAGAGTGGGAAAGTGCCGGCCCCGGCCTCGACAGACTCGTGCATGCACGGCCCCACCCTGTGGGCCGCCTGACCCTACGGCTGCAGCCCCCGGATTGTGGGGGCTCTCAGGCAGCAGCGGGGCCGCCTCGCTCACCTGCCCTCGCGTCTCGACAGCCCTGGGAGTAGGGGATCTTGAACAGCTGCCCTGATGTTCCTGCCGATGCGTCTGTCTTGAAGCAAATCCTGTCTGCAAACCTGGGGTTTATGCAAAAGCTGAAATTAGGGATTTTTTCTTAAGACCTGGATTTCCCCATTGATTTACTGTAGGATTCTTTGACAGAACAAATACCCCAGTACATTGAAAACTAGTCAGTTTATGGAAAACCAGCTTAATTCAACAAATGTTGAGTTCAAGTGTCTGCCATGCTCCAAGCACAGTGTTGTGGGAAATATCAGAGAAGAGCAAGACAGGTCCTTACCCTCCAGGAGCCTTGTCTAGCCGGGAAGATGAGACTTGCCCCGGGACATAGGTAAATAACAACGTGAGGCGAGGTCGTGACGAGCTCGTGCTGAGTAGGGGTAACAAAGTGTCGGGGGGGTAGCCCACATCAACTCCCAGAACACCTTCCTGTCTTAGCCCACTGTGGGCAGGGGGCCTCCGGCGGCAGATCTGCCCTAAGTCTGGGCATTCTGATCCTCCCGCAGGCTTCCTCAGAGTCCTGCAGAGTTCTGACCTGAGCTACCCGGGAGAGTAGAGCGGGCCGCTTTCTAACTAGGGCTTGGGGTTTGTGAACGTGGACTGTCCGTAAAGCTACCCTGCTGGACGGTTGCTCGCCTACTGTAGTGGAGCTCCTGTCTTCCTGGTGACCCTTGAGATCTGAGATTTGGAATGGCTCAATAGCTAGTCATTAGAATAGTGCTCCCCGTATTCTCAGAAAGTAGGGTTTCAAAAGGGAAGATGCTTTTGTACCTGTCCCGAAGCCCTCGCTGTTATGCGTGAGGCTGCTGTGGACTTCTCTAGAATGTTGTTGCATGAGCATGGTGCTGTGTTTAACTTCTTCCCCTGTGTTTGAATGCTGTTGGTCTGAAGTGGCTTTCTCTCGTTTTAGGCAATGACTGTGGGAGAGCAGTGCTGGCCGGTGGCTGGGCTCTCTGCAGCATCCCACGCGCTCTGACGGGATGGGCCCGGGCAGGCCAGCCTCCGCCTGCGCTCATCTAGCACCTTGCGTCCAGCTACACGGGAGGAGTGACCCCAGGACACTTCAGGCCCAGGTAGTTCTCTTCCCTTTCTCTCTTCAGATTTTTATCAGGAAACATTTTGAACAGAAGTTGGAGGAAAAGGACAGTAAACACCCTTTAAACCACCTTCGAGATTCAACGGTGGTTAGCGGTTTGTCCTGTTTTTCTCTCGGATGTTTGCAGAACCACTTCAAAGGCAGCTGCAGATGTCATGACGCTTCCCTCCTAGATGTTTTAGAGTGCTCAGTATTTTAGAACAGTCCTAAAAATAAACTCTCTACTTAACCATTATCACACCTAACAAAATGGATGAAAAATCATTTCCTAGTATTATGTAATAACCAGTTTTCCCTCAGCTTCATCCAGTTGTCCCCAAAATGTGTTTCCCCCCAACACTGAATGTATGAAAATCTTCACGCAACAACATTGGGTTCTACGGCGAACACCCAAATTGCATTACGATTTCGTGGTATTTGTTTCATTGCCTGTCTGACCTTCAGTCCACCCTCCAGAGTCCATCCATCAGCCCACCTTACTCTGATACATAAGGAAGTCAGGTGCAGACACGGGCACCCTGCCTGCCTCAGCGTGCGCGTCACACGCTAGAATTCATTCTTGGAGCTCGTTCTTAGAATTTCAATTTTTTCTTCTGATGCAAATTTTACATCTGAAATGAATACATCAAAACGTATGCATGTTGTCACATTTGCTGAGTTTCGACAAATGTGTACATAGGTGTCGCACATACCTCTATCAGGATGGAGGTCTTTTCTGTTGTTCCAGAGAATTCTCCTCTGCCCCTTCCTGCCCTCCCAAGGCCACCGTCATTGTAATTTTTTCCACCGTAGATGGATTCTGCCTGTTCCAGGACTTCCTGTAAATGGGACTCGTATGCCACGTGATCTCGTGGGTCAGGCCTCTTTGGGCGTGATGCACAGGGGCTCCTCAGCCGGCGCGGCCGCTCTGAAACGCTAAGCAGTGTCCCTGGTAGTTGGTTCTCCAGCTGCTGGTTTGGGTTCCTGCACATGAAGCTGCTGGGAGCTTCCTGGTATACCTCTGTTTGTAAACGTGTTTTCAGGTCTTGGGTAAATACCAGGGAGCGAAGTCGCTGGGATGGGGGATGGTGTATGTTTAGTTTTTTAACAAACCAGCAGACCTTCTTCCTGGGTCTGTGCCATCTTCTGTTCGTACCAACTATCAAGCACCCCCAGTCGTTCCACGTCTTCGCCAGCCTGGAGTGGTTTTTTTAATTGGGTCCCTTCTGCTGGGTGTGAAGTAATATCTCATTGTAGTTTACCAAGAAAATTAAAAAACTTTTTTGACATAGTTTCAAACTGACAGAAAAGTTACAACAGTAGTGCATAGAATTCCTGGGTATGCTTCTCCTAGACTCCCCAAGTGTTAATCCTCTTATTACATTCCGCCCCCCTCCCCTGTGTCTCTTTCTCTCTGTCCCTCTTTGCACACGCGTGCACTCACACGTACACGCACCCATGCACATGCATGCATGTCCATACGTACACACGCATCGATGTGCACACGTGCACTCACATGTATACATGCCCCCATGTGCACATGCATGCTTGCACGCACCCACGTGCACTCACATGTATACACACATCCATGCACATGCACGTGTGCTCACGCATCCATGTGCCCGTGCGTGCTCACATGTACACACGCACCCATGTGCACAAACGTACACATGACCCATGCACTCACGCACATGCACCCATGCCCACACATACGCACCCATGTGCACGCACGCACGTACATGTACCCATGCACACTCACACCCGTGTGCACACTCACGTACACGTGCGCACTCATACACACTCATGCACGCACATACGCACCCATGTGCACGGGCACACTCATGTATACATACACCCGTGTGCATGCACACGTACACATGTGCACACACGACTCTCACGTACGTGCACACCCATGTGCACACACACGCCACGTATGCACAGGCATTTTCTAAACTGGTGAGTTATAACTTGCAGACACGATGCCTTTTTACCGCTAAGTACTCGGTATGTATTTCCTGAAACAAGCATTTCTCTTACATAATAACATGATCAGAATCTGGAAGTTCACATTAAGATAAAGCTACCGTTTCATGTGTAGGCCTTGTTGAGATTTCATGAGATATCCCAATAGTGTCCTTTACGGTGAAGGAATCCCGGGTCACTGAGCGGCGTGAGTTGCCACGTTTGTCTCGTTGCTTTGATCTGAACACTTTGTGAGACTGTCTTTTTATTTCATGACATTGGCATTCTTGAAAAATACAGGCCAGTTATTTGATGATGTTGTATCAGTTTGGCTTTGTCTGAAATTTCTCAGAATGACACTCCTGTTACATCCTTGTGGGGGGAAAACTGCAGCATGATGCTGAGCCCTTCTCGTGTGCCCCGTCGGGAGGCGCCCACCGTTGACCTCGTCCTAACCTGGTGGCGGCGAGGGCGTGTCTGCCCAGCCTCCGCTGTGAACTTGCTCTCACTTTTCTCTGCAGTTGCAAGTGTCCGTCCTCAGGACCATGTTAGCGTCCTTTTGCTCCCCAGACTGATGAACTAGTTTAGCATTCATCGATAATTTTTGTCTGAATCAGTTTTTTATTCTGATGGTTGGTAAGCGGTGACTGACTTATTTGTATGAGAGCAGTTTGGTGCATTGGTTTCTGTTAGTATTCATCTTTAGGGCTTTCTTTTGTCTTTATAGATTTTATTCCCCATGTCCCTGCTGCATGTGAAACGTCAGCGTGGTTGCCAACCTTCCTGCCCAAGACGGCATTTGAGAGTGTCTCCTCTCACCCACCTCTCCTGTCCTTCCTGCACACACCCATTCTCTATTCAGTTTTGGTCTCTTTTCACTTCAATTTTAACATTTCTTTAGAGAGCCCTTTGTATTTACAAATATTTTTCTTCCAATTTTTCAGTTCTTTGACTTTGTTTGTGGTGTTTTTAATCCCCACAGGCCTTTTTTTTTTTTTAAAGATTTTATTTATTTATTTGGGAGAGAGAGCACAAGCAGGGCGAGCAGCAGGCAGACGGAGAGGGAGAAGCAAGCTCCCCGCTGAGCAGGGAGCCCGATGCCGGACTTGATCCCAGGACCCTGGGATCATGACCCGAGCTGAAGGCAGACGCTTAACGACTGAGCCACCCAGGTGCCCCAGGCCTGTTGTTTTTCAAATTTGTATTTTAGGGGTGCCTGGGTGGCTCAGTCAGTTGAACATCCGACTCTTGATTTCAACTCAGGTCATGATCTCAGGGTTGTGAGATGGAGCCCCGCATTGGTCTCTGAGCTCAGCGGAGAGTCTGCTTCTCCCTTGCCCTCTGCCCCTCCTGCCTGTGCTCACTCACTCTCTCTAAATAAATCTTTAAAAAAATAAAATAAAATTCGTATGTTAATGTAGCAAGATGTATCACTCTCTTCTTTTATTGCAAATGGATTTTAAGTCCTAGTTAGAAAGCCTTTCTCTAGCCGGGCTCAAGAGGCATTCGCCTGTATGTGTGTTTTCTAGTGCTCGTATCCACCCCCTCAGGTATTTTGGTTATTTTTACTTTTGGAGGTTAAACTTTCTCCAAATAAAACTGTACATCTCATGGGCTGTCTGCACCCTTCAGACAGCAACGCTTTGTTTTTTTCTCTCATAACTTGCAGTGAGGTTTTTAAGTTGTTTCCGAAATACTTTCCTGAAGTTTTTCCACAGCGGCCTCATTTTAAACGGGCCCTTCGTCACGTGACACACGATCACCCTTTATCATGAGGCCCGGGCGGCCGTCCCTGGGGCAAGGGGCTCGTGGTGGAGGTGTGGGCTTGGGCCGTTGACCTGCCATGGGGCCCACAGTTGTAAACTTGTTCGTTCCCCTTGACTTAGTAATCCCAGAACGGGTACTCCATCCTAAAGAAATTCTTTAAAATGAGAAAAAAGCTAAATGTGTAGAGATATTATTTGAAGCAATATTTCTATTAGTGGAAAAACCGGAGCCATCTAAATGCTTAGCAAGGTTATAGCTAGTTTAGGCACGAGAAGGCCATTTGTGGGATTTTGGGGAATGCCACCGTGAAGAACAATAGAAATGTTAGTCTCTGGAAACATGCCTTTGTTCCTTCAGAGGAAAGCAGAACAAAGCTTATATCTGTTATGGTTCAAACGGACAAAACCTGAGGCGTGCCTGTGAAGGTGTACGCGGACCTTGGGGAGCGGGATGCTCTCGGGTGAGGGGTCAAGGACATGGTGCAGCTGACAGGCACATGGCCTCGTCCAGCGCAGCTCCTGTGCGTGGGGCGTCCGGGAGCCGTGTCCGCAGAGCTCGTGGCGGACTGCGTTGTCTCTGCCGGAACCTGACCTTTTGAGGCCATGTAGAGTGGGTAACGGGGGACGTGAGGAGCTCGGGCTGCTCTGTGAAGGGGAGGGTGGCACCGTGGCCTGGTGACGTGGGCGGGAGCCACGGGCGTGTGATGAGGTCGGGCGTACGAGAGTGGCTGCTTCTGTCTGTGCGGAAGAATACCTCTTAGCGCTAACGATTGTGTGGTGGGAGTTTGGAAACTTGGCCTCAGACGGATGTGCTCTTGCTTTTGTTTTTGTTTAAAGAGCCAGCTGCAGTTTAATAGGAGCGTTCCTGCCCATTCCAGCAACTTGGCAGTCCGCTATTCTTGCCCGCACGCAATCAGAATTGAGAAGCTGAAGGACTCATACAGCGAGTCATACCACCGTCACGATCTGGGTTTGAGGGATGGTCCCGACGGGAGCGGCTCTGCTTCGTTTTCCATCATCTCGGAAGAGAGGCTCAGCTGCGCCGTGCACCTGGCCAGGAGAGACATGAAGCGCAGACAGTTGGAGGAACACGTCAAGCAGCACCGCCTCAGAAGTGAGCCCCAGCTCTCTCAGAGGTGGGGGCCCCACGAGCATAAGATCCCTGAGCACGGGGCACAAAGGAAGGAACCGAGGAGCCGGGAAACGTGTCATTGCGCCCACCAGCCGTCCACGGTGGGAACGTCCTGCTCGGGTGCCAAGGTGTACCTGTCCACAGCTTGTCCAGCACCGTCCCATCCGGCCGTGCCCCACTCGCCGCCCACGCGCGCCCCGGGGCCGGAGCCCCACCCCAGGACCGGCGGCCACCAGAGCCTGCTGGAAGTGCAGCAGCTCCAGAGGGCATTGAACACCTGTGTCCACAAAATGGAAGCAGTCTCTGAGAAAGGTGAGAGCACCTAGACTCCCCGCGGGGGAGTGGCATAGTCCAACACGTTCGTCCAGGACCCCTGCCCCCATCCCACTCCACCCCACGTCCCGCAGTGAGCAGAGCCCACGAGGCAGGTGGGCCGTGCGTTTGGCCAGAGTCTGTCTTCCTGGGGAGCTGGCCCTGCCCTGGCCCCTCTGTCAGGCAGAGGCAGCTGACACCGCCCCGTCCTGCGGGCCCTACGGCTCCCGAACGCAAATTATCCTGTCGTGTTTTGCCGTTTGGCAAAATTTTTGTAATTTGCTCAAAAAAGAGCATTGTATGTGCATGTTTGTCTTTCGATAAAGCTGGTCGTAACGGAGCAGCGTTTAGATGGGCTCGCAGCCGTGACAGGAGCTGGGGGTGTGTGTGAGGGGGGCGTCCGACCACCAGGCACAAGGGAGGGTGTGCGGTCATCCCACACTGTTTCCCACGGTTGTTCGGTGCCCTCTCTGCCCCACGTTTCCTGCGGAGTAGGGAACGGACTCCTTGTGGCGAGTTTGGGTTGGCCCAGCGGGTCGGAGAGAGGAGAGCAGCTTCCCAGCTGCGAGGAGTGGGGGGTTGAGCATCCCTGGGGACCACTGCTAGGATCCCCCCGGGGTCTGTAGGGATCCTCTGCAGACAGTTGCACATGCCACGAGGTGCTCAAGCTGCCTTCCCGAGATAAACGTGACTGAGCAGCCGAGCAGAAATACGCAAGGGAGGATGTGGCGGCACGGGAGAAACAGGACTTGCTCCTGAGCTTCCGAGCGGCCGGCTGAAGAGGGAAAGGTGATGGCTGCAGAGTTTACAAGGCCTGGGACAGGACACAGCTGTGTCAGGAAGACCTTTCTCCCGTGGTCTTCCTGACGAGTGTGTTGTGTGATATCGCGGCAGGGACAGGAGGGTCGGTGTGGGCTGCCGGGGTTGCCCCGTGGCACCCCATGGTGGAAGCCGTGCTGTCGGGCGACAGAGCCCTGCTCCGACGACATGGCCTGAGCCGGGGGCCTTTACAGAGAGCTCCTCAGACTCTGGGGAAGGACTGGTGTGGTGATTTCTCGTTTATTTTCTTCTACTTTTTCAGGTGTGAAGAGAGCACGTGCACACACATGACAGGGGAGAAGGGGCGGAGGGAGAGGGAATCTCAAGCAGACTCCCTGCTGAGCGCAGAGCTCGATACCCTGAGATCATGACCTGAGCAGACTCCCTGCTGAGCGTGGAGCTCGATCCCCTGACCCTGAGATCATGACCTGAGCCACAATTAGGAATCGGACACTTAACCCACCAGTCCACCCAGGCGCCCCTCGCTTATTTGTTAGTTTAAAATTTCAAGTTGTGGGCGCCTGGGTGGCTCAGTCGTTAAGCGACTGCCTTCGGCTCAGGTCATGATCCTGGAGTCCCGGGATCGAGTCCCGCATCGGGCTCCCTGCTCGGCGGGGAGTCTGCTTCTCCCTCTGACCCTCCTCCCTCTCATGCTCTCTCTCATTCTCTCTCTCTCAAATAAATAAAAAATCTAAAAAAATAAAATAAATAAAATTTCAGGTTGTCACAAATCGTGCCTTTTGAATTATAGCAGATGTGTCACCACAATGGCAAATGGCTGTAAAAACCTGTCCGTGCATAGTTTAAATTTCTGCACTGGCTCGCTGTGGCCTGGGCCGTTTGCCACGGCCCCCTCTGCAGACCACGCTTCCGGGGGCCCTGACATGCCCAGGGTGCTTCCCGGGTGCGGCTCCGTAGACCCCTTGTCTCAGAACCGCCTGCCGGGTGGTGGCTCGGAGCCCCGTCGGAGCCGGTGTCCCTGACATCCACGCACGCACGCGGCGCCCGCATTTCTCCCTGCTACGCGGCCCCCACGAGACAGACATCTGGCTGGTCGGCCCCGTGAGCAGGTGTCTGTACCCAGAACTCCGATTCCAAAGTTTTGCTTTTCTCAGAACAAAATTTTTTCATCATTTGGTTTCTTAACCAGTAAATATTAAATATTTGAGTTTATAAAATACACTTGCACTAATAAAACACGGTTTTTTCTGACTTGTATCCTGGGATTTTGCATAAGAACCACTGGCTCGGGAGCGGATGCTCGCACAGCCCTCAGAGTCCCCCAGAAACCGTTTCTTCGAGCACGTGGTTTGAAAACGTGGGGCACCCGTGGGTACAAGGGTGTGCTTCCTGACAAAGATGTCAAGGCTTTGGACATTCGAGCAGTCTGAACGTGTTAAGAAAGCATTTCTCTTTTGAATTTGAGATAAAGTATCAAAGAAATCTTGCCAAACATAAAATAGGCCAATAAAGGGTTTCTGAAAAAAATAGACAGCGTTACAGGTTTGGGCTCAGTAGAAAGAATCTCAAAGTAGTCAGCGGTGCTTGGCATTGGCGGAAGCTTCCGCCGGGGTCTGGTTCCGGGACTCCGAGTGGCGGGAGCTTGGTCTGAGGTCCTGTGTCTCTTCCGACTGGGTTACACACAGGCCCGCTCCTTCCTCATTTCTTGGCTGGTGGAGAATTTTTTGTGGGAGTCCCGTTGTTTTGTTTTTAATAAAACTAGAGATCTTCAGCTTTATTATGTCTTGGAATAATTGAAGTTTTCATGCGTTTCTGTATGTATGTATAATCCACTTTTGGGGAAACACTGTTTTCAGATAGAGCGGAAGAAGCTTTGGACCCAGATGAGGAGCGGCGAGTCCAAGTCCGGAGGCAGGAGCAAGCCGTGCGCTCCGCCCGGATGCTCTATGTCCTGCAGCAGCAGGTATGGGAGTGGGGGAGCGGCCGCCGGCCTTGGGGGCCCTACCGAGAGCTTCCCCTGCCCCGTCTCAGCAGCACGAGTGCAGTGTCCCACGTGACTCCTGTTGCGTTTCTGAGCCTGAATTTCCTGAACGTGTGGACAAGTGGTTCTTTTCTTTTTGTCGTCTGCCTTCATGTGTATTTGTGTAATGTGAATATAGGGCCGAAGTCCTTGAAGAGTGGTTTTTGGCTTTTTGGGGTCCTGTGTTCTATGAATCTGAGAATGTGAGTCCTGTCCTGGAAAACAGTGCTGGTAGAACATGTATTTCTGTGGACAGACGCGAGTGGACAGTGGATCAGTGACCCCAGCTGGTGCCCTGGTGTTAGAGGGACGGGGCCTCGGCACTTTCCCGCCTGCCTCCCGTCTGTGCTGGGCCAGACGCTGAGTAACGGCAGATCGTGCGGTTGTCTTGTTGAACAGTGAAGGAGGGAGGCCTGCTGAGGGTCTCGGTGAGCAGGCGTTCACGTTGTTTACGTTGCAGATAGATTGCTCTTAGATGTCTTTTAACCGTAGCACCTTCCTCATGCTCCACCTTCGACTCTCTTCCCGTCACTTACGGCACAGGCTGGCTTTACTGCTTGAACCAAAAGCTGAATGTTTTCCTGTAAAAGGAGAAATGCCTGAGTTAGACTTTGCTCCGTGTTGCTGTGGGGTGGTGCTTCAGTCCTCGCTCCACACTGGCCACTGAGATTGTTCTGGAACACGCATCTGACCCTGTCAGGGCTCTCCGGACATGGTGCAGCCCACGATGCAGCGTGGCCTCCCACCTTCTCTCCCTCCTGGGAGGTTCCCGTGACCCTGGGACCAGGGGATGGGGGGGACACTGTGCTCCATTCGCCGTCATGAACTTGAAGCCTGGGACCGTGCTTTGGGTCACGAGTGAAGAGCCTTGTCTCATTTCGAGTGACTTGAATTAAACAGTGATTGTATTTGGACAAGACGGATCAGTGGATGGGTCTGAAGTCTTCACTTTTTCCCCTTTACGAAACAGGTGAAAGAGATCCAGGAAGAGTTGGATAAATTGAGCCCACATAAAATCAGACCCACGAAGAAGGTATGACGCAGGCTGTCATGGTGGATACTGCTTGTTTATAAGTTGCGTTTCCAGTGTCTGGTGGGGATTGTGCGTGTGGGTTCTCTGCACTAGCAGGTGCACGGTGCTCGTAGAGATGGGTCTGGGGGGGCACGAGCACCGTAAATATCCTGCACTTGGTGTGGCCCTCCAAGGAACAGACTCTGTTGCTGCTGGTGCAAGAAACTGACAATAGGAAGGAGAAAGCTATTTGTTGGAGAAAACCTTTGAACTTCGTAATTCCCTGCTGTGAGAAAGTGTCCGAGTACAGCGTTGTCTAGAAAGGAGACAGGCCGCAAATCCTCGTGAGGGTGGGACTGAGGTGGAGAAGTTCTGAATTCTGAAATAACTGCCCCCCCCCTTCACCGCCAGTCCTGGGTGATGTCGCGGCTGGCGGCTGCCCACCGAGGAGCCATCCGGGCCTTACAGGCATTGGTGACGCAGCTCACGGACCGCGGGGAGCCCCCGGTTCCTGCACGCTGTAGGGGGCTGGGCAGCCTTATCCGCCGGCTGTCACTCTGCTCCGCCAAGCTGGACGCCGACCCTTCCGTCCCCGATGTGGTCATGGACATCCTGCGACAGACTGAGGTATGAATCGGACGGCAGGTTTTGTTAAAAGTGCTTTGTTTCTAAGCAGGGAGGTGATGCTTACTGTGGCCTGGTTCCGTTGGGGTTTAAGGAGAAGACAAGACAAAGCTGCCATGTGCTGAATTCGAGCTTTGCAGGGGACGGAGGACGCACTTTGTTTTTATCTTATCAGCCTTACCGTCCGGCCTGTAACGTTGCACCTCACTTGTTGGAGAATGGGTGGTTTGGGTATGGAACGTGCGTCGGCTCTTAACCAGGTCCGTCGATTCACCAGAACGTCCCATCCCTGACCGTGCATTGAGAGAGAACCTGTTAGCACAGAAAAGGAGAGCAGGGAAGCACTCTTCGGTTAGTGCTTGGATGAGAGTGCGTGTGCTGCCTTGGTGGACTTCTGGGAAGTGCTTGAAGTTGTGCCAACGGCTGGGGACGTCCGGCCGTCCCCCGGCAGGTACTGGTCGGGACGGAGCCGGCAAGAACAGGAGGCCCTCATCTGTGCCGTCCCGCCTGCTGCGGTGCTGGGAGCCGCACAGGCTTTATTACCCGCACGCTGCAGTTGAAGAAGGTCCCAGAGGTGCCACCGACGTTCCTCGCATGCTGTCCCCGTGACTTCCTTGCCGGAGTTAGCTCCGGAGTTAGCCCCACATCCGTCCACAGGCGAAAAGCGACCTTCACGTTGGTGGGACATGGGGGACGGGTGCACCGGAGGGAGACTTCTGGGCTAAGTTAACTAGCCTGGGTGGCCCCGCGGCCCCTCCTCCTTGAGCGTCGCTGGCACGGCGTGTGGGGTTTGCAGGGGGCGCTGGTGCCTGGAGGACTCAGCCCAGGAGCGCTGTCGGGTGCAGACCCTCTGACAGCGTGGCGGGTCGCATGGTGCTTTCTACGCTGGCCCCTCGCAGACATGGTGGGCGCGTCTTCATCTCCTGGGAAGACTTCAGGGGCTTGTGTCGTCCCCTCCCAGAGTTTAAACAGGAGCCCCTTAACGTGATGCTTCTTACACACTTCTGTCAGTAGTGCGGGGAGCTCAGTCCCGTCGACGGGCCGCTCCTCCACGGCTTGCTGTCCTCGTGCCTTACTGTCCCTGGATTAAGTCTCCCCGGCCATGCTCAGGTGTCTTCAGTTTGCACAGTCCCGACGCTGGAGGCCGGCGCTTACTGCCCACTGATGAGCGACAGGTGCCTCTTGCAGGAACGAGGGCACGTGGGGTGGGTGGGTGGCCATGGCCCTGGGCATGCGGCGTGGTTTATGAAAAGGTATGTTACACATAGTTCCTTTGTCCACTGAAAATACCATTTGAGTGTATGAGATTTTTATCGAGAATTAAGACATCTATAAAGCATGTAGGATTAGGCTCTGAAGACCGTGGTTAGTTTCTAGAATATGGTGGATTTGGATGCCTTTCAAAGTAGTCCTGTTCTTTTCCTTTGTGCTGTTGGTTTCAGTGAGCTAAATGTGTAAAAGGACATGCAGAATTCTCTTATTAATTAAGTAGATGTTCTCAGTTTTCCAGCTAAACGACATGCCATTGACCACTAGACGTGGACGTGTAATGACACATTTGTCTGGGGGCCTGATTTTCGGGTTTGTGGTCAGCAGCAGACTTTGGTGAGATAATCGAAGACAGTAATGGGCTGTTTCATGGCAGGCTTTGGAATCCCTCCTGGAGAAGAAACCGTCACCAAAACAAGTGAAGAAAAGTGTCACAGAAACTCGGAGCAGGTTTCCTGTTGGTGGCCGCAGGGCCTTGGAGAGATGGCAGAGTCCTTCGCCCAAGCATGAGAAGAGACCCCTCGTAGCAAAGGAGACATTTCCAGAGGAAGCAAGATGGCCTTCGGGGGCAAAAACGCTCCTTGCTGGTATGTGTCCTGAGGCGTTCACCGTGTGGCGTTTGGTTCTGGCCCACACAGACGCTGCATGGAGGGGAGGTCAGATTTAAAACCTGGTCCACAGCAGGTGCACTTGAACCCAGGAAGCAAGTAGCAACCAGAGTGCGCCCTTGGGTGAGAGGCTGGAGGGTCCCCCACAGAGGAGGGTCCCCGTAGTGGAAGGAGCCCCCCTAGAGGGAGGGTTCCCCCCATAGAGGGGGGTCCCCCGTGGACGGAGGGTCCCATAGAGGGAGGGTCCCCCCCCGTAGGGGAGGGTCGTCCCCCATAGAGGGAGGGTCCCCCCCCGTAGAGGAGGGTCGTCCCCCATAGAGGGGGGTCGTCCCCCATAGAGGGAGAGTCCCCCCCGTAGGGGAGGGTGGGGAATGTCAGGTTCTCTCTTCCCACATCATCACGCTTAAGTTACCCAGAGGAGATTCCTGAAGAGCTAGAAGTGAGAACCCCGCTTTTTAAACGTTTGTTTATTTAGATTTTACTCATAGGCACACGCATATGCACAGAGAGCCACGCGATGTGTGTGTATGTTTTTAGCGTAGGTAACAAATAACTCGTCCCCAGAACCAGAATTGCTGGCTTGTGCACGTTTAGACAGTCAGCCAGCTTGCCCTTGAACAGGCCCACGGTGATGTTGCGGCGAACAATGAGCATCAGAGTGTTTCCCACATCCTTGCCAAGTACTTGATGTCGTGAAGTTGTAAGAATTTTCCAGTGTCTCGTCCTGTCCTGACTCCGGGGTGGAAGGTCCTGGTGCTCCCGGGCGTGTGCCCCCTCCTCTGTGCGTGCCCTCTGCCCTCCGGGGGCCGGCATCATGCTCTCACATGTGTAGAGGGCCTTCCTGCACTCTGGGCCTCCTTTCTGGGTTTACACGGATTGCATGTTTCTCTCAGTTACATGCCTTTGACTTGGTTTAGGATCCCTTTCCTGGAACAGATATCTGCACTTTGTGGGCAGAATCATTGTTCTTACGTGTTTTACTATTTCAGGAGGCTCTTCCTCTTTGTTCTTCTTCAAATTTTGCTGATGGAGATTGCGTATCTTCAGAGGAATTTAGAAGGTGCTAGTCAGGTTCCAGGACAGAGGCCGTGGGGGGTGTGATGGGCCCCTCGAGTTCACGGGCTGGCCTGGGGGGAGGGGAATGACATCATGGTGCCCTTTCTCCCTCCCTGCAGGTGAAGGGTACGGTTTTTGGCATACGATAACTCCTGACGTAGGGATACTAGGAACTCCTGGATTCCTTGTTAGGTTCATGTCCAGTTTTCTCATTTTATGGTTTTTACTGCTACTGTGAACGGGATCGTCTTTTGATTGTGTGTCGAAGCGGGTTCTCGCTCCTTCCAGCAGAGCCGTGGGACCGTGGACCACACCACTGTGTGAGTGGACCAGACCTCCGGGTGGCAACGACGCTGCGTTTCGTTGGTTCTGAGGGGTGCAGTGGAACATTTCTGGGATTGGGATGCGTTCTTACGTTGATGATATCTTACAATTAATTGGCAGTGTTTTAAAATTTCTCATAGGTGCAGAAAATAAGGATGTCTTAATGTTTTAGATTTGATGAATAATGAGATTTTGTTAGTTAATTCTTTTGTTTTTCCAGATGATGAGATCACCTACAAATAAGTAAAGCTCTGCCTCTCTCTTTACAATTTTTATACCTTTTCTTTTTTCTCTTCCTTCTTTACTGGACAGAATTTAGTTCAGAATAGTATCGGGTGATAGGCGCAGTCGGGGCATCATTTCCCCCCCCGGATTTCGTGGGATCTGTCGATGTGCGAGCCTTGCGGTTGTGCTTTCCGCGTGTCCGAGGGCCAAATCAGAGGAAATATTCTTCTGTTTCTTTTTCCAGTTTCGTGAAGAGATTTTCTTTTCTTCTACTTTCTCCTTTTTTTACGTTAAACTGATAGAAATATACGTTGATAGTGTTTTAAAATAGCTTCAAGATTTTAACGTTGCGTTTTTTAATGTGCCGTCGGTGTTGGTGTGGACGAATCCAGTAACCTAATTTTCCCGTTTCAGTTGAAGTAGAATATACAGATAGAAAAGTACACAAAATAGGAGTTTACAGCTCAGTTCATCAGAAAATAAACATCTGTAGGGTCACTACCTAAGTCAGGAAGTGGGACGTTACGAAAGCACTAAGCAGTCCCCTCTTGCAATCTCCGTGCCTCGCCTCCTCCCCCAGATTAACTGGTACTCTGATTTCTCTGCCGTACTTTGGTTTTTGCCGGATCTGGAACTTTACGAGCTTTGTAGGACTAGAATGACACGACGGGTATTTTCTTGGGGCCGGCCTCTTCGTTCATGTTTTGTGAGAGTCGCGTTTGTGCGGCTCGTGGCCGCGTCCCGCTGTGTGAGAGGACCGTGGTTCTGTTGTCTTCATCATCGGGGTTTTCCCAGGTCTGGACGATTACAAAGAAAGCTGCTCTTCTCGTGTGTCTCCTGGTGCGTGTGCACGTGTGTTTGTGTTGGATGCGTTTGGGGGTATCATGGGCAGCTCATAGCGGGTACGTCTGTTCAGCTGTAATAGGTCAAGAGTTTTTTCAAAGTAGCGTTTCCGGTTTCATGCCGACCAGCAGCGCGTGATGGCCACTGCCACATATCCCTGCCCGCACTTGTTCGTCTTAGTAAGCGTAGTCTCCCACTAGGAGCGTAGACTATCATTCTGGTTTTTTTTTTTTAAAGATTTGTTCATTTATTTTAGAGAAGGAGAGAGCGGGCGGCGGGGGGCATGGTAGCAGCAGGGCAGGAGGGAATCCCAAGCCGACTCCGCACTGAGCGCCGAGCCCGACGCAGGGTTTGATCCCGGGACCCTGAGATCAGACCTGAGCTGAAGTCAAGAGTCAGACGCTTAACTGACGGCACCACCCAGGAGCCCCGGCTGTCATTCTGGTTTGACTGATTCATTGATTTATAGATTTTATTTATTCATTCGAGAGCGCACAAGCAGAGGGAGAGGGAGAAGCAGGCTCCCCGCGGAGCAGGGAGCCTGACGCGGGACTCGATCCCAGGATCGCGGCATCATGACCTGAACCGAAGGCAGACGCTTCACCGACTGAGCCACCCAGGCGCCCCTCATTCTGGCTTTAATTTACATTTTCTGTTTGAGTGATGGTGTGAGTACGTTTTCATGTGTTTATACCCCATTTATATGCCTCCTTCTGGGAAGTGCCAGTTCCAAGTCTCTTGCCCTCTCTCCCTCCCTCTTTCACATTTTCCTTCTCTTCCTTCCTTATTTTCTTTGTCTCTTTTTTTTTTCAAAAATGGATTTATAGTTCTTTGTAGGAGTATTCTGCATATGGACCCTAACTCAGTTAGATGGGGCCTCCGTTCGTTTCAGGTGTCCTCAGATCCTCCCAGTAGGGTGTAGACCGTGCGTGCGTGTTCGCTCTAGTGCAGCTTTCACTCGATTTATTCCGCCGTGCTCTTGTGTGTGACGTCCTTTAAAACCTTTAACTCCCAGGGCGCCTGGGTGGCTCAGTCATTGGGCGTCTGCCTTCGGCTCAGGTCATGGTCCCGGGGTCCTGGGATCGAGCCCCGCATCGGGCTCCCTGCTCCGTGGGAGGCCTGCTTCTCCCTCTCCCGCTCCCCCTGCTTGTGTTCCCTCTCTCGCTGGGTCTCTCTGTCAAATAAATAAATAAAATCTTAAAAAACAAAACAAAACCTTTAACTCCTGACGTGCGTGCTGATATATAGACGTCTGATTTTATGCATTTTCTTGTATCGAGCACCCTTGCCGTGCTTCCGTTTTCTAATACTTTGTCAGTAGATTGTGGTTTGCTGTGTACAGAATTGGATCATCCGTGGTTTATTTCCAGCCTTTGTTCCTTTATTGCTTTTTTCCCCGTAGTCTTCTGGTTTCGTTTACGCAGTCTGCAGATGGCTGATGTAAAGGTCTGTGCAGGTGTCTTGTGATGCTTGAGACTCGATCTCTCATTGGGTTTCTGCTCCGTCTCCTTGAACCGATCCTGAGATGCTGGGCCCTCCGGGCTGTGGGTCTCCTGGGGGATTTTCCATGTCGCTCTTGCTGCACGCCTCTCTCCGAACCTCGGTGCCGCTCACCCGATGGCCGTCTGTGCTGAGCTGGTGTGGTGCGCGCCTAGACCTAGCGCCCCTGTCCCGGGGCTCCGTCCTCCGCTGCCATTCTAGGAATTTCTCTTGTAAGTAGGCGGCTGTCGGTGAGCTTTGTGTTTCATCCGGTCAGGTCTGCCGAGATGAAGGACGCACTTGGACTTCAACCTTAGTTTGCGTGTTTCATTTGCCAAGGTTTCCTCTGCCTGGGCTGTAATTTACTATATCCATCAACTCAGCCTGTTTCACTGTTTCCCCTACTGGGTTGGAGGTTATGTACCGATGTTCATCTGGTCTGCGTCTCAGTCTGCCACTCATTCTGCGGCACCATCTGACGTGGATGTCACAAAACCGAATTTGCCGGACTGCGGTTAGATACGTACTCAGCTCTCTCCCGTTCACCGGGGGGCAGTAGAACTCAGCCCCAAGTTGGCCCGCCTTTCCCTTACAGCCCCGCAACTGGCCGGCGGCCCCATGCGGGCCCAGAGCTAGGCGCCTGCGTGACAGGCTCCAGGAGGACGTGTGTCTGCGGGAGGACAGGCTTCTCGGCAGCAAGCACAGGACGCTGCGTCTGGGGGCCGGGGGGAGACGCGCACAACTTGCCAGGCCTGCACACAGACGTCTTTCCTAACCAGCCTAGAAGAGTACAGGAGCCCATAGCTGATGAGTGCAAGGTGAGCCCCCGCGTCAGAGAGAGCGGCTGGAAAGCTGCTTGTCTAAAGCTCACCAGAGAGCCCATCTGGGAGAGCAGGAAGGCGCATGCCCGCAGGAAACGGGCCAGAAAGACCGCACTGGTGACCCTGGGCTGAGGACTTCATCTCTCAACCTTCATTTTTCCGTCTGTGAAGTGAGGATGCTAGTCCTTATCCTACGTGACGGACTTGGGTGTAAGTAGCAAGCTGGGTAATCACTGAGTGCCATAAAAATGGCAGGTGTTTTTAGTTCACGACAATCTCAAGCTACTAAGGAAAGATCGGATTGTGGTAGGCAGGTTCTAGCTGAGAAAGCAGATCTTTGGTGGCCATTAAAAACGAGTTTTGTCCATTTCTAAAATCATGAGGTGATTGGGCCATGGCGCAGTAAGCGGGCGTGCGCAGCCGGGAAAGCGTGTTTCTGCGGAGCCGTCCCGGCGTCCCTGACGGCAGAGCAGAAGGCACGGGCCCGGCCCCGGCCCCGGAGTCTGAGGGCGCAGTCCTGCCGCTTGGCGGTTTGCTTCCTCATCTGCAGAGCCGTGGTGGCCGAGTCCCGCCTGCTGTGTGTGCCGCGGGGAGGCCCGGATGTGAGCGCCCCGGCCGGAGCCGAGAGAGCGGGGAGCAGGTGCGAGACGGGACAGCGGATAGCGCTGCTCACCCTTGTCTTCGCTGCTCCAGACCGAGGGTGGTTGTCGCCACCGGGCGCCCCTGAAGTCCCTTTTCTGTTTCTCTCCCCATCCTGTTCCCCTCCCCCCCGTCACCCACGGTCACTCCTGTTTTTATGCTTGTGCTGCTCTGCGTCCATCCATAGACGGTGTGTTGTTTGCTACGTTGTCTGGCGCGTGTAAATGACCTCTTATGGGACGCGTCCTCCTTCTGCCGTCGACCCCCCCCCCAGGGGGTTTAAATTGATGCCCGAGTTGTGATTTATGAGTCTCACTTCCGTCTGGTTTCCCTGTGTGACTAGACCACGGTTTGTTGTCCACGCTGCCCGTGTTGCGCTGTCCTAAACACTGATGGTGGGAGTCCCTTGGGCCGAGCGTGGACCCCGGGTCCCTGGGCGAGGCTGCAGCCGGGGCGAGTCTCATCAGAGCCACCGCGTTGTCCCGCGTCGGCGGCCGGTTCACTCCTGCACCTGCGGCTCCTGGGTGCTCTCTGGGCGCCCTCGTCTGTCCACGCCCCTGTCATCCCCAGGGCCGCCTGGGGGTCATCACCTTGAACCCCTCCCCCAGTCTTACGGACCAGAAACCATACTTTGTTGTTTCAGTTTGGATTTTTCTGATTATTGGTGACCATCTCTTCATGTTTTTATGGACAGTTCAGATTTTACTCTCTAAATTGCCTATTCCTATCCTTTGCCTGTTTTTCTCTTGGATTATATATTTTTCTTATAGATTTGTAGATGGTTTTAATATATTCTAGATATTAGTCCTGTGTTCATTACATGCGTTACCGATCTCTACTTTAGACTCTGGCCTGTCTGTGGAGTTTATCGGGTCTTCCTGCGGAAAGGAAGTTGCCATGCGCTGTAATTAATTTAAGTGTATCAGCATTATTCTTAAGAGAGGCTTCTCTGCCCTGACTTCATCCTTTCTCCTGTACTTTCTTTTAAAACCTTTCAAGTTTTCCTGTCACATTTCTGTCTTCACTTCATTTAAATTTAGGTGATGCTGAGTGTGAGGCGAGGCCCGTGTTTTGTTTTGACCCCATGGACCCCGGCCGCTGGGAGCTGTGCTGGGCACTGCATCAGGACGGGGGGGTGTGGGGGGCCTCTGGGGATCCACCCCCTCCCGCCCCCTCCCGCCCCCACCTGGTGGTGCTTCTCCGGAGCTGTCTGGGCTGGTTTGGGATTGTACTCACAAATTTAGGATCAGCCTGTTTCAATCCACAAAAAGATCTGCTTGGATTTTAATTGAATTTGCATTTGAAATGCTGGACTACTTAGGGGAGAATTGACATCTTCACCGTGTTCTTTCCATTCTTGAAAACAACTTACTCAGATCTTCTTTCATGTCCTTTAAAATACCTTTGAATATTTTCTGTGATTCTTATGCATCTTTTGTTAGATTTCTTCCTAAGTGCCTTAGAGTTTTTGTTGTTGATGCAGACAGGATATTTTTCTCTTATATTTTCTGTAGTTATTTTGATACATGGGAATGATACTGATTTTCATATTTTTTCTTTTATCCAGCAACCCTCTTCCTCATTTAATTATGTGTAGATTCTCTTGGATTTTCTATGTAGAAAACATCATCTCATTTTCAACTAAAGACTGTTTTATTTTCCCGCTGCCAGTTGAACGTTGTGGATGGATGGAGGTTTTGAGAAATGACAGTTAAATATTTGCATCTTAGAAAAAACACGTTTGGTAGCCCCGTGGGGTGACTGGAGACAAAGAAGGGGTTGGTCAGGAGATGCCGTTATTATAGTCATGGGTACTGTGCACGTCTGCCCCGGGTGGTTGGGGCAGGCAGTCAGGGCTGGGGTCCGAGGGACCGGGAAGGAGCACCGTGGGAGGTGAGCCTGGGCTTCAGCCATGGACTGTGGGTCCGTGTGGGAGTCACAGGGCGAGGAGTGACTTCGGCAGCAAAATGCCTCTGTGTTTATGATTTGGGAAAGATGTTATTAGGCCTCGAAGCCGACGGCCAGGAAGGAATTCTTGAGACATCTTCGGTGCAAAAAGGTGATTTTATTAAAGCACAGGGTCAGGACCTGTGGGCAGAAAGAGAGGAACCGGGGTCATGAGGAGCGGCCCATTATATACTTTAAATTTGGGAGGGGGTTAGGGATAGCGTAAGTCTCTAAGGAATTTGGAAGTGAGGTTTCCAGGACCCTGAGGGGGCTAGCTATTGTTGGGAAAAGGTCATTTTATTACCGTCTAATAAAACCTGAGTCGTGAGACCCTTCAGATGTATATAGGTGAGTCATATGCTTGGGGGATGATTGCCATATATCTTGGAGGGTTTAGAGATAAAGGAAGTTTCCAAAGGAGTTTCTATACATTAAAGTAGACTTACAGGATTGGGGGGTGGGGGTCAGACTAGAATTGCCTTTTGCCCTTAGCAAAGTATTAATGATGCAGTTTTGGAATATAGGTGAGGTTCAGTGGGGTGGAGTGGTGGAGTCGGGAGCCGATGACCAAGAAAGAATTCTTGAGGTGTCTTTGGTGCATAATGGTGGTTTATTACAGCATGGGGACAGGACCCGTGGGCAGAAAGAGCTGCTGCCCTGTGGTCTTGAGGAGTGGCCTGTTACATACTCAGGTGAGGACAAAGGGGGTGTCCAGAAGGACTGTCATATGCTAAAGAAGACTCTCAGGATATTGGAGACCTGGTAATTGTCAAGCCGAGGCTATTTCCCCCTCTAATGAGGCACTAACATGAAGACAATTGGGAGTTTCCTGGAGGAATGTTACATTCCTCCTATCACACGTCCTTGTCAATGGGCTTCAGGTTCAAAAGAAATTCAATTTTACTTACATTTCCTTCTGCCTAAACCTCCCTCAATTTCATGTAGGGGAGGATGATGTTAGGGCTTCAGGAAACTGAGTTATGGGTCTTTTGGAAGTTAGGCTATTGATGAGAAAGCTTCTTTCTTGTAAATCACTAGGACACTTGTAAACCGAGGGAGACTCCTGTCCTGCAGGACTGTGATCTCTATCAGTTAACCGTTTGTTTTTCCTTTAGGGCAGCCAGGAGTGCCTGAGGAGTGTCACATATATCCCTAAGGTGGTGGTGGGGGGTACGGTACCAGCTTCTGCTCTGTCCTCAGCTTGCCTTCTGTTCCCTTATCATTAACATCGGGGCAGCTGAGTTCCTAGAGGAAGGTCACTCTGCCTGTCTCAAGGACTTGTCAGTGGGCTCTAAGGGGTAAGGAAATTTAATAATTTTTCTTCTGCCTTTGTTTCCCACACCATTTACAGGCTGGGTTAGATGTCTGGAGCTTATCTGTCTGTGGAAATCCTTGTCACCCGCTCGAGTAGCAGTTCCCTCTGTTTGTCCTTCTGAAATGTCCTACAGATAAGTGTCCCCCTGGGGCAGTGCCTGCAGCGACCTGGAGGTTGGAGCATGGGCTGGATGCGATGGGTGCGGAGACCTTTCCGGAAAAAGCCCTGTCAGTTCCAGACCACAGCACCGGCTTCCCGGCAGATCCACGGGCCCTGGCGAGAGCCGGAGTGGCGGCAGGGAGGCCCACGGCCAGCAGCGCGGTGCTCGGGAAGAAGGAGGCCCAGGCGCCGGCGAGGCTGCCTCAGGTACGAAGCGGCTCCGTCCACCGCCCGTGTCCCTGGCCCCCGGCTGGCCGTGGTGCCGCCAGAGTCCTGAGCCCACTGTCCAGACACAGCTGGCTTAGCTTGGCTCTGGGTAGTGTCTGCCTTTTTAAGCAAAAATAGCAGCTTTTAATGCTGCCCCCAGGACTGGGTGTCTCTCTCGTCCTGGTTTGGCGAGATCCGCTTGGATTTGAAACCGTGGTCTTAGTCGGGCTTTTCTAAAATTCCGTTTCTTCTGCTTCTGTTTTGGAAGTGTGAGATTGCAGAGGACGCAGATTCGCTTCCTCCTGAGGTGAATGTTGACAAATAAGTAATGGCTCGGCATGGAAAGGCCTCACAGCGTCAGGGCTCTCCGTGTGTTTGGGAGCCAGCTGGCCTGAAGCTACAGTACAATTGAAGCTTCTGCTCACAGCGTGACTGACGTGGAAGGCTGCCTCCCAGTCTAAACACCCGTAATGTGGTTACTGCCCCCGGCCGGGCGCCCCCGGGGACTGATAGGTCCTGGCTCGGGCCGGCCCCTGGGGGCGTCATTGGGCCGGCAGGACTGGGCCTGTCTGCATGTAGCCGGCGCTCTTGCTCAGAGACAGCTGCGCGCTCCTCCTCCATGAGCCCATTCAGCCTTCTGGAAACACAGGAGGAAATTGGCTCCCCGTCTATAGATGAGGTTAGGGTAAACCAAGAATGTCGTGTGATTTCTCTCTCTTTTTTTTTCCTTTCACTAGGAAAAAACATAAAAATAAATATATATACATACGTATGAAAGGATGGCAAAGACAGGGCATCCAGCTTCACCCCTCCCCTGACCCCCATCCCCTCCCTTGGGTGGGAGTACAGCACGTAAGCTCAGTGGGGCACGCTCAGTGTGGAAACGCTCAGTGTGAGGTATGCTCAGTGTGGAAACAGTGTGAGGTATACTCAGTGTGAAGTACATTCGGTATGGGCACGCTCAGCATGAGGCACACCTGCCCCCAGGTTTTGCCACAGTGCTTTCCACGCAGGTTTCTGGTGTAGCATGGGGACTCCCGAAGCTTCCATCGGCCAGAGCTTCTTTGATACCCGTCTGGCTTTATAGTTCGTATTTATCTCTTGCAGGGACTCCACAAAGCTGAAAGAAGTAGACCAGCCCAGTCCCAGAGCAGAAGCCGATTGCAGCGCACGACAGTGTCCTCCAGACTGAAAATGAACCAGCAGCCTCTGAGAGACAACAGGGCCCCTTGGGTGCCCCCGAACCCCACGTCCCCACCAGCATCTCCTAAGTGGTACGTGGTGGGGTTTGTGCTCTGCAGAACAGAGGGCCCCCTATCGCTTAGAGCTAGTAAAGCAGCAGCCTCATTCCCACCAAGAACAGAAGCTCGTTTGGGTGAGAAGTACGGGAGAATGTTTGTCTAGAAGCCTGTTGATGTCTTTCTCCTTCCGACTGGGGGTGGGGAACCTCCCGGGGGCCGCCCCGACCTGCTGTGGGCATGTGGTCCCATGTGGGGGTCACAGGCTTGCCCCACCTGTCTTCACACAGTGGATTCTAGTGGCCTGAGGCCAGGAGCTGTGCCTTCTTCATAGCTGAGTGTCCAGTGGCTGGCATGGGGCCTCTGCCCTGGCGGATCTTGGCGGGCATTCAGTAAATCTGTGCTGAATGGATGAATATTTAAAAATAATCCTAATTTCAAGACAAGATTTTGAATTATAAAACCACACAGATCTCACTGTCGCAGGGGACAGTGAGGATAATGCTGACATTACCATCTGTCTCCACGTTACTGCACGCAGTCACGAGGCCCTGTTGCACAAAGCCAGGGGGAGGCAGGTCCTCCAGGGGCCGCAGGGGCCAGTCAGGTGGAGGTAGTCTCTGGGGAATTGCAGAAGAAAGAGGGCTGTTGGTTTACCATGGGGCAGGGGTTGTTGAGAGCGCAGTGGAAGGGACCAGGATCAGGCCAGCAGAAAGCAGGAGCGTGGGGAGGAGGGCCAGCAGGAAGATAAGGGGTCCAAGGGCCCCACCTTTACCGAGGCTGGCAGGTGACAAGGGAGCAGCCTGGTGGGCCGGGCTCCCCCTAAGACTTGAACGATGCTGTGTGAATGGACGTGCTTGCTCGTCAACCCCTCAGAGTTGAAGAAGCAACGTCTCGAGAGTTTAATGTCTTGCTTATATGGCAGAGCTAGATCTAAAATCAGGCCTGATTTCCTGATGTGCTTTTTTGTGTTCATTTGCTCTAAATTCTGTATTTTTTTTAAAGATTTTATTTATTTGACAGAGAGAGACAGTGAGAGAGGCAACCCAAGCAGGGGGAGTGGGAGAGGGAGAAGCAGGCTCCCCGCTGAGCAGGGAGCCCGATGCGGGGCTCGATCCCAGGACCCTGGGACCATGACCTGAGCCAAAGGCAGATGCTTAACGACTGAGCCTCCTAGGAGCCCTAAATTCTGTATTTTTATGTGTGTGTTAGTGTAAAGACTTGAATTCAGTTGGAAGCTCATGAAAACACGCGTTGGTGGACGTTTCTACTGCAAGCCCACGAGCCCATGGGCTGTCTTGAGGGCGTGTGCAGAGGGCGAGAGGGCCTCTTGAAGACACTGCAATATTAAAGTAATTAGTGACCTGAAGCTATGTGTCGGTTCTTTTTCGTTGAGAACAGGGATGTGTGTGTGGAGCAGAGAAAACATGTCCGTGGGCACTGAGCCTGCTCCCTGGGGGTGCTCACTCTCCTTTGCACCTGCTCCCACTCAGGCCCCTGCTGTAGATCACCGCCGACTCCCTGGGAGCCTGTGGGTGTGGAGGGCGCGGAGGGCGCGGAGGGCGCCGTCCCAAAGCTGTGCTTTCCTGCGTTTTGCAGTGCTGCCTGGCTGAAGGTGAAGCCGAGCCCCAAAGATGCCACAAAAGAACAGTCGCTCCAGCAGGACAAGGCTCAGGAAGAGAGTCCGTTGAGGGGAGCTGTTGTGCAGGAAGCAGTCAGGTTTGTGCTGCTATTTTTCAAATCTTTGAGAAAAAAAGGGCGCACACGGGTTCTGGAGTGGACTCTGCTCACCTGTGTACTACGAATAAAGCCAGTTACGTGAAGCGTCAGCCACCGGCTCTGCTGTCGGACGGCCCAGCGCAGGCGGCGAGCCCCTTTCACTCCCTTCACGCAACATGATGTGTGTCCGTTGTCCACGGGTTGCTTGTTTTGTGTGGTGCAGCAGTGAGCTCTATGGAGAGTTCTAGAAACAGGGCCGAAACAATCCCAGCCCCCGTGACTTAGAGTCGCAGGAAGGGCCTGCTACGACTGGTCTGAGGCAGAGCTGGAGGGTGAAGAATGAGGGCTGGAAGGGGACGGGCTGCTTCGTGGGCCCAGGAACAGGCTCGAATCGGGGGTGAGGTGAGAACATTCCGGAGGGAGCTCTGCCTTTGTGTGGCCGAGATTGTTCTTGCATTGTGGGAAAGCAAAAACGAGTGTGGGCTGCTGTGTGAGTGGATGCTAGTCACGCATCCTAAGCTGAAGGACTCAGAGCCCCCCGAGCTCCGAGGTTGTGCAGAGTTAGCGTTTCCTTTCTGGCTTTGTGGGCCTGTGTCCCCCTTCTAAACTCGGAGATCCAGCAGCAGCTTTATTTTATGGTCGAACAGGAAATCTAAGAACAGCGATGGCTCTTTCTTGAGAACACTCGTGGGCGGTTTTGGTGGCTGTCCACGCTACCCGGAGTGCGTCAGCACCGTGCCCCACGTGAGGAGCTCCAGCGGTGGAGGTGGGAGGTGGTGTTGCCTGCGGAGCCCAGCCCCGGCGCCCCGACCCTGACCCTGGCGTGGCGGTGGGGACGGCGGCCTGGGGGGCGAGGCGGGTGGTCTGAGTCTGTCTCCTGTCCACCAGACTCGCTTGGCTTGACGCTGAAGCTTGTAAAACCTTGAAGGAGCTGCAAGAACTGAAAGCTGAGGGCTCGGACAAGACGCAGAGGCACAGGTGAGCCCCCGTGTCCCAGGTGGGAGAGCGGCGGCCACTTCCCGGGTCGGGGGGCTGTGTGCACCTGGGCAGCCCCCGGCGGAGCGCACGGACAGTGTCTTTGGCATTGTCCCCGAGGCTCGCTGCGCTCGCCGCCGACTCCGGCAGGACGGAGGGACTGCAGGAATGGGTAGAAGCTGGACTTGAGGTGGGGCTTTGCTTCTGAGCAGGAGTCACCTGCTGCAGCTGGTCTGGGCGCTTGCACCCTGGACCGCATCGGCCTGGCCTCGCCGGATGAACGCGTGCCCGCGGGCTCATAGGCAGTAGCTTTGCTACGAAGTATTCCTTTTGTGGAGTTAGATGCTGAACGGACGTCGGCAGATTGGGGGAGCTGAGAGGTCGGCCTTGCTTCCCCTTGTGCCCCACCCCCCACCCCCGGTGCTCTGCTCTGGGCGGGAGGAGGTGGACGTGTGTCTGGTCGTGCGGGTGAGTGTGCAGGTACTTGGCCTCAGGGTCGACTCGAATGTAGAGTTACCGCCCGGCCGCACGCTTCAAGTCTGAGGTGGTGTTGGCACTCTGATGCCGTGATGGGCTGTTCCCGACTCTGATCGTAACTCGCCCTGCGGTCACCCACACGTGTGTTCTGTTACCCATCACGGCAGACGCTCGTTCCCTGGCTGGGAGGGCTCTGGCCCGCGCGCGACAGGCCCCGATTTCTTTCCTCTGTAGTTAAGGTTTCAAGCTACACAATCACAGGGCCGTCCGGCTGGTGCAGTCGCTTGAGCGTCTGACTCTTGGTTTCGGCTCAGGTCGTGGTCTCTGGGTCCTGGGACAAAGGCCGCGTCGGGCTTCTTGCTCAGTGAGGACTCTGCCTGAGATGCTGTCTCTCCCCCGGCCCCTCCCCCACCCACACACACGCGGTCTCTCTCAGGTAAATAAATCTTAACGATGCAATCGCAGAGCCTTAGGGCCGGAAGGGTCTTACTCCCCTGCTGGCGCTCCCAGGCCCTCGGGCCCACCTCACAAGGTAACTGCCCAGCATGGTCCCCCGGGGAGGCATCCATTCCCATTCCTCTGGCTGCTGGCCTTTAGGAGGAGCCCTGAGACCCCCACCCACTGTCCCTCGGCCAGATAGCAAGACGGTAGCCCGCCGTGCCCTGTCATCCCTTTGGGTGGCCCCACGTGATAAATGCACGCATACAGCCCAGAATGCTACAAAAGGAACGTCCATGCGCCGGCATCTCTAATCAGGGAATGGGCCCTCACCGCATGTCCCTCCTCGGTCCCTCCTCCGTCACCCGCTCCTCCCCCAGAGCGAACCACCGTCCCGACTCCTCCGTTCATCTTCTCATCGCCCCCACCCATAAATCTGCCCCCTACGGGCGTGTCCCTGACGGTTTGCGGACACAGGCTGGGTCACGGGCAAGTCCTCGTGCGGGGCGGGGGGGCACGTGGATGTGTGCCGGGTCCCGTGGACTTGCGGCGGCGACGTGGTTGGGGCGGTGCCCCGTGTTGAGCGTCTGTTCCCCGACTTGGCTGACATTTGCCGGTGTCTGTCTGCTAATTCTAGCCACTCGGTGAGGACGTAGTGGTGCTTTGTGGTTTTCGGCTGCGTTTCCTTGCAGTCGGCTGGGGCTGTGAAGTGTCTGTTGTGTTGGTTTCTGAGGCTGTTTAGTGTGTCCTGGGCGTGAGCTGGTGTCAGGCATTCAGCAGCTGGGGCCTGTGTGTGAGCTTCCCAGCAGAGTCTCTCGACGAAGAAGTCGTTTCGGGTTTTGACCAAGATCGGTTTATCGACGTTTTATCTGACGGTGGGTCTTGTTCTGGGACTGGTCTCAGAAGCCCTGGCCAACGCTGGGGCCCCAGAGAGTGTCTGTGCGCTCTGCTAAGCGGCCTGCTCCTGTGGCCGTGTTCTCACGTCTGCGGTCCATCCTGAGCCAGTTTCTGTGCCGGGCAGCAGCTGCGGCTCCGTGTGTGGATTTCCTCCCGGAGACCTGCCGTTCCGGCGCCGTCCGCCGGGAGGGCTGCTGGGCCTGAGCTTTACTCCGGGGTGTGGCTACGCTGCTCGAGACTCGGTTAGTCCTTCCCTCGGGGCGGGTCAGAGCGTCCAGGGCAGAGGGGTGTGGTCTCGCGCCCGGACGGTGAGCATCAGGCTGCCAGCGTCCCGGGAGCGGCCAGCCTGCCTGCAGGTCCACAGGGCTCCAGGGGAGGAGCAACCAGACCTCTCTGAGTTGGAGAGGGGCCCCAGGGTCTCGCTTCTCAGACGTCACCAGGCTCCTGTCTCCCACATTTAGGCCGCCCCCAGGCCCCCACGTGCCTGGTCCCACCAGCCGTGTGCCGTGAAGTCAGCAGGGCACGTGCGTGGCCTCTCCGCTTTCCCCGTGACCGGCCTAGAATTCAGCTTGGTCCGCTCAGCGCCGCTGGTGACCACGCTGTCCTGCTTTCCAGCACCATTTTCCCCTCGTCTCTGGGTTTGTGTCTGGCTCCGTTAAAGCGGAGTTTGGAAGGGGAACAAGATTAGTTTGATTGGTTCAGTCCTCTGTCCAGCCATAATTCTTTGGACCTAACATACCACTGAGACGTTCGGAGGTGCCCTCAGCGGGTGCAGCACCTGAGTCCTCGCTGGAAATGCAGCGTCACGGCCTCCTGCGGGCCTGCTCTTTAACAAGAGCCCTGGGACGTCCCGGGCCGCCAAGATTAGGGACACTCTGGGGCTTCGTGCACGTTTGCTTTTCCTCCCCTTGGAGTAGTACGTGCATATACAAAATAGGGTGTTTTCTTGCTTTTGATTTTAATTTTGACTTTATTTCTGCATAGCGTCTCGGACACCCAGGTAGCAGACAAGGTCGAGAAGCTGGTCCTGCAGCGTTTGAAGCCTCTCCTGGTCAAGGCCCAGGTAACCCAGTCATTTGCCTTTGGAAGCGCTGGAAAAAAGGAGGCCCTTCGTGAGGCCGCGCGTCCGCCGGTGGCTAGGGGCTGCCGGGCCGAGCTGCGCTGAGTGGTCGGGTGCGGCACTGCCCGGCCCCTCTGGGGCCACTGATGGGTCTTCAGTGCACATGAGGGACCAACACAAGGGAAGAGAGGGAAAGTCCCACTTTTGAGAAAGGGGAGATTCTATTTGGGGAGTGAGTTTAGGCTCCGGCTTCCATTGTTAATGAACTAGACCTGGTGGTGCCGTCAGCGTTCCATTAGCTGCCTCTGCACGTGTCCCGGGCTCCCCCACCTCCGTGCTCGGGAGTGACTGGCACTCTTTCCCGAGGGTGAGTGCCTTTGCACGGACGTCCCTCTCTCTCCCTCGAGGAGGAGCGGGGAATGTGCAGTGTCGTCAACAGGCGCCCCCTCCCGTGGGCGGCAGGCTGGAAGTAGTCTCGTCTTTGTGGACATGGAGGCCACGGGGTATCCTCATCTTACGTGGAACGAACGATGTTCTGGGTCCTGAGCGGCCACTGAAGTCTGTAGCTCTGGTGTAAGGAGCGTGTGCTTATTATGAGGATCCCGGACATGTCAGGAGCAGAGAACCGCCTGCCCCCTTGTTTCATTGGCGAGGGAGCTGGAACAGATGTGGGGTGATTGCCTAAAGACACACAGCTACTCGGACCGTGTTTCCAAAGGGGACAGAAAGCCAAGATCAACACACGGCCTTTGTTTTCACGAGCACACGGGCTGGGAATTGCCGCAGAGCCTGACGTAGCCGAAGCCGACGAGCGGCTCCGTGCACAAGTTAATCTCGTAGCGGTCTGTACCAACGTGGGTTGTAGGTTTTGGTAATTGATGGATCACGCTTGTCTGTTTCAGCAGAGAGTCAACTCTTCTCTGGAAGCAGATCCTCAGCTGAGGGACCGGCCGTCAGCAGACACGGCGACCGCCCAGCCCACGGAGGAGGTGCGTGCGCGGTGGCGTTCCCGCGGACACCGCTGTCCTGTCGTGAGAGCGTGCTGGGTGGCGAGGGAAGGACACGGGTTCCTGTGAGCGCGGGGGACCCTGCTCAGGAAGGGGGAAGTGACAGTTCCTCTTGGCTTGTTGACATTTACGACGGAACTCTCTGGAGCCAAGGGGTCTGTGTGCGGCTCTGTCCTCTCCCGAGCACGGCCCTGAGCGTGGGCGGCCCGAGGCCGGAGAGCAGCCGTCCTCTCGTCCTGCCACGCGGCCTGGCTCTGCTCACGACGGGCCCGATGCTCACTGTTCGGCAGGCACGTTTTGAGTGCCGGACAGTGACCAGGACCTGGCCTCGCAGACAGGAAGCGGTAAGAGGTGAGAAGCACGAGAGCACGTGTTGTGGTTGGGCACCCCTGCATGTCCCCCCAGAGGACTTGTGTCCGGCATGTGTGGGGCGATCCTGTCCCGCTGGGGCTTGGGCTGTGGGTGGGAGCTGCAGGCCGGCGCACTGAGACTCAGCGGGTTGGAAAGCAGCTGTTTGCGCTCAGAGCAAACATGGGGCCGAGCCGGCGTGCAGGGTCAGGGTGAGAGGGAGCGGGACGAAGCCGCACCAGCCCAGTGACATAGGATTTGGAGAGCGCGTCCCCACTCTGCGGATCAGGCAGGTGCCCGCCTGCACGCAGGTGCGTGGTCTTCGTGGCTGTGACTTCACCAGCATCTCGTGGCGGAGTCGCGGGTGAGGAGGCTCCTGAGGCTGGGAGCTGAGAGCCTGTCCGGAGCGCACGCAGACCCGCGTGCCTCGCGCAGCCCGGCCTCCAGGCGATCCTTCCCTCCTGGCGGAGCGTCTCAGCCGGGGCAGCGTCCCCGAGTGACCGTCAGGGCCGTCAGCAGGGTCCACGTGTTGAGGACTACCAGCCTCGCACGTGAGAGTCAGTCTCTGGGCGCTGGGTGGTCTTGAGGAGAGTGAGTGAGGAGGAAAGCAGCTCTGTCAGCAGCTAGCGTCCTGGGGTAGACGTGGGCGTCACCGTGGAGGTCCCCAGGTGGCACGCGAAGAGGGTGTGTGTGTAAATAACTGAATAAAAACGAACAGGGAGAGAGCCTCACTGAAGTCGGCATGGTGACGGAGAGAGAAGCGTTTTCTGTGTTACTTGTAAAATTCTCAGAAGCCCCGTCTCTGGAAGGGAGGAGACGTTTGTGGCCTTCACACATGGAGTACAGCTCTCGACGGGTTCACTTGCCGACACGACTGTCTCCGCCGTCAGGAAGGGGTACTGCATCTTCGTCTGGCCATGCGCTCAGCACCTGAGATGGAGCTTTCCAGAATGCTCCAGTTTTTTCTAAGTTGAAAGTTATATATGCACATGGCTAAAAATTCCAATAATTCAGCAAAAGTATGATATAAAAGTTAAACCATCCTGTGAAGGAGCTTTCTTTATATGCCGGTGAGCTCCGTATCACTGTGTCGAGAGCTTCCTCGTCTTTTCCCAGGGCACACGGTATTCCTGATGTTCCGGTCCCTGTAGATGAAAAATCCGACCCGTGCAAATACATCTGCATTAACTAGACCCGTGTTCTTGGGTTCCTCTGCTCTAGATTTTTTTGTAACTCTGATATTTACTTAACTTATGGTTGGGCATTTCTTCGTATCTTTATTGGCCATTAATATAGATATTTTTTCTGATCCGTTAGAAGGATTTTGAAATTGCTGTGGCGGGAACTGTTCACGGCATGTCCCACGTGCACGTGCTCACGGAGCCCTTCCAGCTCTGAGACGGGACTGTTCCCGTCTCCCTGACGGGGGTGAGAGCAAGGTGCAGGGGTCGTGCGCGCTGCCGAAAGGCGCAGCAGAGCCAGGACCCCGTGTCCCCCAAATGGCTCCTTCCAGAGCCTGAGGCCGTCACTTGCCGCGGACATTCCTCGCAGAGCATCTTTCAGAGTAGATTATAGACCTATCTTAGAATCAGAAGAACTGGAGTGTGTGTAAAATCGCTTTGCAAAGTGTAAAGTGCTTTGCAAACATAAAGAATACGAAGTCAAGAGAAGCTAGTAAAGCTCTCCCGGGTTAAGGTAGAAAGTGTCGAGTGAAGACAGAGAATGAAGAGGCTCGTGATGTCACGACTAGAACCACACGAGAACGGACCTGTCGTCTGGGAGCCGACCCTGAGCTGGCGGGCTCCTTCTCCGGGCGCACCAGGAGGACGCTGGCCTTGCCAGCCGGCAGGGGCTTATGGTCGGCTAGCTGGTTCGTGGCCGCGTCCGAGCGGCTCACGGCAGCTGTGCCCGTGGGGCTGCTTTGGACTCGCTGCTGCGGGAGGGGGGATGGTGCGCGGATCGCCCGGGGCTGCTCTCCGTCTTCAGGTCTTTCATTGCCTCTCCGCTCCTCCCTTGCTTCGCAGGCTGCGGCTGTGGACCGTGCGCCCCGCAGCCTTCGCCAGCTGGGGGACTGTTTGGAAGACGCCACTCACGGGCCCTGGGCCACGACCCGCCGTAGGGTCTCGGAGCCGGAAGCCTCCGCTCCCGTGGGGGACGGCAGGGACAGCCCGTATCTGGAGACTCTGATGCTGCGGGTGGAGGAGATGGAGGTGAGGTTTCGGGCCGCCCCCCCACGCCTCTGCAGCCCGGGCGTCCATCCCAGCCCGACTGCAGCCAGTGCAGGGCCTCGCGAGAGTCACTTGCCCTCCCTAAAAGTCAGGGGTCTTTGAGGATAAAAGAGGTGTGAGGTGTCGGCACCCCACGGGACGTGGAGCTCAGGAGGTGAGGTCATTGGTTGGTGATGGGAACAGCCCTGGGACCAGAGCCGGGACCAGCGACTTCTCCACCCACCCCGGCATGGGGTCCCCGCAAATCGCAGACCATCCTCCTTGTTACTTCCCACGATGCCACCTCAGAACGCTTTTGTGTTACGAGTGTAGACCTCCCGGCGGGACCCAGCCTGGGCCCTGGACTGTCCAGAGCAGGCACCTGAGGCATAACGAGGGAGTGAGCGGTGCGGCTGCGGTCGCCGGAGCTGGGCTGGGGCGCCAGGTCTCCTGACCCCCACCCCAGCCGGTCCCGTCGAAGTGCACCATGACTGAGTCTCTGTTTGGATCTGCTGCTGAGTAGAAACACAGGGAAGACCGTCTTTTGCTGGTTTTTGGAAACGTAAAGATGTCGTTCGCCCCAGTGCCGGCATGGTCCCCTTCCCGGGGGTGACCGTCCGGGCCTGCGGCGTCCAGGGTGGCCGGCTCTAGCCTCGCGGGGCGATTCAAACGTCAATTCAGATGGAGCCCACGGCTCACATTTGAAGTGGTCAGTGGTCAGTGGCACACGGAGCAGGTCCCTCGTCACGGCAGGTTCTCGTGGGCAGTGCTGGTCTCCGTTAGACAGGTTGATGAATTGCTTCATTTAGTTTTAGACTTGGCTCGTAAACGCGCCTCACTTCCTGGTTCTGGCGGAGCGCCTGCATCACGTGGGTGAACTGCTCTGGTGTGAACAAAACTACTCTCCTCTCATAAATTAACTTTTTTTTTTCTTTAAAGAAATACCAGGAGACAGTTCGCCAAAGATACAATAAAATTGACTATGCTGATCCTCATCTTTGGATGCAGGAAGGGAAGACGGGTGAGTGTCCCCCCCATGCGTTCCCCCCGCATTTATTCTGTAGCTTCAGACGTACAGGGAAGTTGCAGACCTTTGGCGGTGGCCACACACGGACCCGCCCGCGCTCCGGCGTCCTGCCAGTCCTCCCGTGTCTGGGCGCGTCTCAGAGGAAGTGCAGGTGTGGGCGTGCATGGCCCCGAACCTTGCGGCGTGTGTACCCGCGCCTAGAGTGTCCTGTTTCTCTGTGGCTCTTTTTCCTTTTGAGATAAGATTTACATGTAATAAAAAGCACAGATATTAATTGTGTCCTTAGATGGGTTTTGACAGACGGAGACACAGTGGGGTTCCCGTGTGCGGACATGCCTCTGATTCATCCACCTGCCTGTGGATCCACACTTGGTTCTGTCCAGTTTGGGGCCATTAGGAATCGGTGTGCTGTGAGCACGTTCGTGTGTGGTCTTGTGTGGACGTAAGTCTTTATTTCTCTTGGAGAAACACCTGAGCAGACTTGCCAGGTCCCAGGACAGGTGTGTGTTCAACTTTGTAGAAAACTGCCAAGCCTTTCCCCAGGGCGGCTGGTGGTCTGTGATTGTCCCCGTGGGATGGGCGTGGACTGATGTCTCATCATGGTTTTGATTTCATTTCCTTGCTGAATGATGACGTTTGGAACATTTTTATGTGATTATTAGCCAGTGGTGTCTGTCTTCATGAGGCATCCACATATTTTGTAGATTTTTAAAAATTGGGTTGTCTTTCGGTTTTGATTCGCAGGGGTTCTTTGTGTGAACGTTCTGAGGCAAGGTCCTTGTCAAATACGTACATTGTCTGGCTTTACTGAGATGTGATCCACGCTCCGTAGACTCACCCTTCAGAGCGCACAGCCCAGTGGTTTCTCGTGTTTGCACAGCCGTCTGACTCCAGAACACGTTCGTCCCCTAAAAAGCCCTGTGTGTGCGGCAGCGGCCCCCACAGCCCCGAGTCTCCTCGGACGGGCGTTTGCCAGTATTTCCCCCTATTTTCTCAGATGTAGTTTGTCACAGGAGGACGTTTCTTGCTTCAAAACATCTAACACCAATTTTTCTTTTTCTCTTTTGACCTAAGAAACCTTTGCCTACCCCCAAATTGAGAGGGGGTGTCCTGTTTTCTTCTAGAAGCTTTATGGGTTTAGCCGTTGTGTGTGGGGTTGCGGTCCATCTCGAGTGAAAGTGGGCCTGTGACGTGAGGTGGAGGTGCAGGTCCGTGTTCTGTTCGCCTAACGGACAGCCCTCTGTTCTGCAGCCGTCTGTGCAGAAGACGTGCCCTTCTGTCCCCCTTCTGCAGACGGACACAGTTGCCGGGCTCCTGTCACAGCTGCAGCTGGAGTGTCCCTCATCCATGGTGGCCTCGTGGCCGTGGGCGCGGAGTGTCGGGTGCGGGAGGCCTGCCGCCGAGCCGTGTCACGTACCGCTCTTTTAAAATAGGGGTGCAGGGTCCCATCTTGGGGAAGGCGCTGGCCAGGCCACATCGTGACAGAAAGATGAGCCGCTACGCACAGCGCTGTCTTGTGTCTTCTGTGATTCTCAAGCCCCTGCCCTCTGCTCCGTGGCTGTGTCTGCCCTCCAGCCGTCACTGTGACCTCACACGGCCACGGAGCCACTGCCTGCCCCACTCTGGAGCTTGGCTCCTTCCTCCCTCCCTGGCCTGTGCGCTCCCGTGGACGCCTGTCGTGTCAGGGTCACTGGTGGACGGATCTCATCTCCCAGCTAAGCCACAGATTTGAGGCCAGACTCTCCTCTTCCGTGAGGGCCACTGCGTATTCGTGAGTCCGTGGCATCTGGTGTCTGTTGGCGTGGAGCAGAGGGGGCGCCGAGGGCGGCTCACTCCGCGGACGGTTTGGCTCCTGGCCGCGGAGCGGGGTTGCACTGTGCGGAAGCTGGTCTTCCCCAGGACTCCGTGTGGTTGTTTCAAGGACAGTGTAGTTACTCGTCGCCGCCCATGAGTGTGCGAGGCTGGGTGTGCCCCGGCCAGGAGCGCGGTGGGGCCCGAGAGGGACACCTGCAGGCTTGGGGAGTCCCAGGAGGAACCCAGTTTCTGTCGCTCTGGTTGTGTGCTCGTTGTGAGACAGAACCACACTGAGCGTCTAATCCCGCTCTTGTCCTCTGCTCGTGCAAAGAGTGCACAGCTGTCCTCGGGATTTTGACAAACGCTGATGGGGGCGTGGCATCTCCGGCCCGTGGGAAACTACAGGCATATCCGAGTGACTCCGACTTACCTGAGAGGGCCACGCGTTTTCTTCCTGTACTTGAAATACACTTAAAATTTTGAATGACCCAAAGCTCACAAGAGCTGTTGAGCCTGTGGGGTCTAGGTGATAAGTTAATGTTTTGACTGTTGTTGCAGGTTTTTCCCAGCAGCTAATTAAGTGTTGAGATGTGAATGCTTTTTTCCCTCCCCAGTAATGAAACCGTTTAAAGGTTAAAACACAAACCCACGTGCTCAAGCCTCCTCGAACGGGGCTGACCCCATCGTGGAGCGTCCTCCGAGCTCCTGAGGCTCTTGCGACTTTAAATTCGCCTTTTCTTTGCAAACCAGAGCATTTTTGCACGGCCGGCCACCCCGGTCAGGTTTCAGAGACGGGCCTGGGAAGCACGCCGCTCTTCTCTCTGTGTGGTCACTGTCTGCCTCTCTTCTAGAGCTCCCAGCAGTAAGTGAAAGGCCTCTTTCTCCTCATCCAGTCAAGATCACAAAGACCCCAGCTCGCAAAGACCCAGACGTGAACATCGTGTTGGAAAGACCCCAGAATGGCAAGTGAGTGGCACTGAGACCCGCGTCAGACCCGTGTCCACGCGCTGGCTTGCCTCTGGTGAAGCGTCAGGGCCCTTTGATCCCCACAAGCCAGGGCCCGACCTCCCCGAGCTCTCCAGGAAGGCCCCGTGCCATCTTGGCAGGAGGCACCACTGTCCCCTGGCTCGTCTTTCCCGGTGCAGCATCGTGGGGCCCCGGGGCCATGCCCGTCCTACTGCAGACCTGCTTCGAGCACTCTGGCCTCCGGGACGGGGGCTCCCGCCACCCCCTGGGTGGTCAGGGCACGGTGGGGGGTGTTGGGTTCATTCAGGTGGGAGGAGACCGACCTTCGCCGGTCCGTGCGTCGGGCGGAAGGAACACTCAGCCTTGTGTACGGTGATCTGAATGCTCTCCTTTCTTCTTTCTCTCAGTTCCCTGGATGAAAGCGTGGGGACTGACGAGGGGCCTGAGAAGAGAGGGGCTCCCCTTGTGCCCCTTCCAGAGGAGAGTCCACAGAAGGAAGGCCAGGTCGCCCTGCAGGTGCCCCCGGGCCTACGGCACAGCATCAGCGACTACTGTAGCCGCTTCGAGAAGTACCTCCGCCTGGTGGCGCACGAGGCCGTGGGTGCCTTCGACCCGTGGCTGATGGCCGAGAGGTCAGTACGGTGTCGTGGCCTCCGCCTGGGAACCAGGAGCCAAGCGTGAGCTCACAGAGGGGCTGCGTTCCCGTCGCTGGCGTATTTCTTCCGAGCGCGAGCTTCCTTCCCTCGTGGGGGTGGAGTGGGGTGGTGGCTGCGCTGCGGGAGCGGAGCGGGGAGGCCCCGCCTGCAGACTCGCCCCCTCCTCCGTCCACTGTTGGCGGTACTTGGACTTGGCGTGAAGCCATAACTGACGGCAAACGGGGAGCAGGGGCGTTGGAAGCCATCGCGCAGCTAGACGGGTGGTAGAAGGCCCAGCCGCTGGGAGTGCCGCGGAGACCGGGGACGAGGGGCGCCGGGCACCCACAGGTGGAGGTGTGGGTGCAGGGGAGTGGAAAGGTCGGGCGGACTCTGAGAAGCAGGGTAAGGCTTCAAACCAAACAAACCAGAGTGAGCGTCCTCAGGAGTAAAGGACGCGGTCACACCGGGAAACGCGCCCAGGATACCGTGAAAAAGGAGCTCCTGAAGAATGGAAGTAGGTTCTAAGAAATTAAAAGTATCGCGGCCAAAGTCACTGGAGAGCTTTGAGAGAAAAGCCAAACCTCTCAGAAGTAGAACAAAGCAGACAGGCAGTAGAAAAACAAGATTTTAAAAATTCGCGGGTTCTAGGAGTCGCAAGTCCAGGAGACGTCACGGAGCTGTGACTTCAGCAGCCGGAACGGGGGACGTCTGAGGCCGGGTGTGCGGGCGGCCTGCTCTCTGGAGAGGTGGTGGCCGTCCCCCCGGGTCCCCTTCCTGCAGGGGCCTGGGCGCCAGTCCGCCACCTGGGGCTGAGGCTCTGACACGCTTCCTTTGTGGGGACACAGATGTTCAGCCTGTGGTGGCAGCATCTGACGGTGGGAGGTGCATCCGTGAGAACAGGGAAGGGAGGGGAGGGAGACTTTGAAGGAAACGCGGTAGGAAGCCCTCCCGGAGGCCGGCCGCCCGCGGTGAGCGGGTGAGTGAGGAGCGAGGGCACAGACCGCGCAGAGTGCACCTCGGGGCATCATTATGGAAAGGCGTGTGAGCATCCCATGTGAGGAGCGGGTGACAGAAGGTTCCGGAGAGTCCCGTGGGCCCCTTCAAGAATCAGAAAGAGGAACGGCATGTCGTTCTCAGGAGGACACCACTAGAAGGTATCAGAGCATCCCCCAAAATCCCCCTCGAGTTCTGTGCTCCGCTAAGCTGCCCATTGAATGAGAGGGCAGAGTGGAGACGCGTTCACGGGCCATGTCCGGAAATGCGGTTGCCGGGCGGCGTTCCTCTCCGAGCTCCTGGGAGGCTTGTGTTGCCAGCGCAGCGTGGGCGTCGAGGAAAGGAAGACGGGGCTTGGGAAGCGAGACTCTGGCGGGGAAGCCATCTCCACGCGAGGAGCGCTTCAGTGAGCGTAGGGAGCGCCCAGCCCGGTGGAGGGAGGACGGAGGGCCGTGGAGGGACGGCGGGCAGGCAGAAACAGGAAGGAAACAGGTTCGGTACCCGGGGCGTCTGGACGCATGGGGGCACCTTTCCATTTGTCTCGTAGTTTGGGGTGGGCGGGTGCCAGGAATGTCGAAAGCACAGTGGGTGATTCTGGTCGTGGTGCCCCCGGGAGTCTGGACCACGTCCCGCTCACGACAGGCAGAGCGTGTGCTCGACGGCATCGCAAGCTACTAGCTGACGGAGAGCCGCGGGCCGGGGTCCCCCCCGTGGTCAGCCCAGAGGGCACGTGGGCCCTCTTTGAGGCCCTTTTTAGACGGAGCCCGGAGCGGGGAGCCCAGGCCTCACTGTGGTCACCTGTGAACGCTCCTCACGTGTGACTGGGCCCCCAAGGGCGGCACTCCGGGCGTCAGGACGCAGAGGGGAGGGCAGGGCCCGGGGGCGCTGCACACGCAGCTGGAACCTCAGAGGGACCGTGGCTTCCAGAAAGTCTACAAGCCCCGAACGGAAGAGTGAGAAGAAATCCACACATAGGTGCATATTACAGCATTCTTGAGAAGTCAAAGCCAGAAAACGTTAAAATCATTTGGAAGAGGGAAAAATGGGAAGCAGAAAGCTGGAGGCCGGAGGACGTGGCGTCTTCTGAAGGGAAGAGGGAAGAGGGCCACCGTTCTGGAGCTCGGTGTGTCGCAGACGTAAAAGGGTTCCAGACGAGCGAAGCGAGGACTTTGTCACCGGCCGCTTCGCCGTGGGAAACGGCGAACGGGCAATTCTCAGGCAGAGCAGGAGTGGTGCCAGGGAGGGGTCAGCACGTGGGGGACTGCGCGGAGGCGGGGCGCACGTGCTCATGAGGACACCCACCAGCGTCGCGGCAGGAGGAGTGCAGAGTGCCGAGCCTCTGGGCTCGTCTGGGGAGACGGTAAGAACGTCCGTGGTCAGGCTCGACGTCGGCGTGCCCACAGAAACGCAGGATGGCCGGTAACACGGGAGCGGAATGTGCAGCGTACAGGGTAGCAACGAGGAGAAAGGGTCATAGAAACCCACGGAATCCAGAGACAGGAGAAAGAGCAAACGGGCAACAAGAAGATACTCTGTTTTACTGGCAGGAGCTCTGATGTATCAGTTACATTAAACGTTTGCCTCGCCCGCGTGACTCTGCCCGTGGGACCCGTGTCCATCCCTCCAAACCGGCGAGGTCAGGGGAACCCCCACCCCGGAAACGCAGACCTCACGGTATTCCCGTCAGTAACGATCTCGGGAAACGGGCAGATGGCAACGCGTCCGAGCAGCTTTGAACATGGCGTGTGCGCCCTCGGTAGGGACGGGAGAACAGTGGACACACCTTAGTTTCCGCTCTGTGGGCATCTCGCACGGTGGCCCGGGCTTGACGGCTGCTTTGGCCTGTTGCAGGGTCGAGGGGTTAGTGCGTGCGTCCGCGCACCTGACGGGGAGGCCAGAGCGAGTCGTCCACTGAGCTGGGGAGTTTGCAGCCCTCGTGGATAACGGGGTGCACGCGGTATGTGTTGTGTGTCCGTCTGGCCCATCTGCTGAGAAGGTCTCCACACTGCGGCCCCAGGAGCACAGGGCACATGGGCTCCCGAGCGCCGTTCTCCCCTCGGGGATACGGCCGGACGGGGGGCTGGGAGCGGGCACGATGGCCCAACCGTGACGCCGAGTCAGGAAGGAGGGGTCGGAGGACCAGGGGGCAGTCGAGGGGACCCAGGAGTGGCGGGGGGATGGGCGCTGGTGGCCCGTGTGGGGTGTGAGTGTCAGGGGATCAGTATCTGCACAAATGACCGGGAGCCGATCACAGACGGGGATGCCCGGAGTCTGCGAGGCCGAGCCGCTGGCAGAGGGGGAGGGAGGGCGGGGCGGGTGCGTGTCCGTCCGGCAGGGAGAGCGCCTCCCCACCGCCGTCTGACGGAAGCCGGGGCCAGCGGGGGATGGGGGAGCCAGGGACCCGGCCGGATGCAGAGGGACGAGCATCCCTCCTGTGGCCTGAGTGACCGCGAAGAAACCTCACACAAGCCCACATTGAGGGGTGTGCCACAAATAAAGGCCTCCTTGCTCTTTTGGAAAATGTCAAGGTCGCAAAAGGCCGAGGGACGCCCGCAGACTGGCGGGGGGTCCGGAGAGGTGGGCGGCGGATCCCGCCCCAGAATGGACACTGTGTGGACCTTTGGCACACGTGAGCACGTGTCCCGTCAGTGGCAGCGTTGGGGGTCCCTGTGTCCGAGGAGGTGCCCTGGGGGGGCGCTGCGTGCAGAGCGTGGACGCTGGGCCCGGGTCCGGGAAAGCGGGGCCTCTCAGATTCGCCTGTGAGGCTCGGGGCCGCCCGCCGGGTGAGTCCCGGCTCCCGTGGCCGTGTGCGTCCAGCCGTGTTGTTTGTCTTCCAGCTTCTCCGACGAGCTGGTAGACGAGGCTCTGGGGGCCGTGGCTGCGGAGCTGGAGGACGCGTGTGAGGACTATGCGGAAGCCGTGTTCACCTCGGAGTTCCTGGAGGCCGCGACCTGAAGGCGCTCCCTCCGCGGCCAGCCTCCTCCCTGGGGCCCCAGGCGGTCTGAGCCTGGCTGTCCCTCTGTGCTGCCGGGGTGCTCCCACGGGGAGGGGGCCCTGGCATCTTCTTGTCGTGGCGATGGTTCTGGGGTTGATGACGGAGGGCGAGCTGTTTTCCGGGGCCTGGGAATCGTGAATTATGACAACGTAATAGTTTCTCAGTGTGTAATTTTCCTACTGAGATCCTATGCTCGTTCGGCTGCTGAGTCTGGGGATGCGAGCGTTTGGAGAGGCGCCAGCCGGTGTCTCTCCCTCGAGGGCCCACGTTGCTGCCTGAGCTCCCGTCACCCCGAGCTCGCTGCCACCGGGACAGGAGCCCGCCTGCCCTCAGCATGCTGCCAGCCAGTCCTCCACCCCTGCCGGTCCTCCGTGCGCATCGCGGTCCGCAGCCTGTTCTTGCCCCGGCGGACGCATCTGATGTGCAGACGGTGTCAGGGTGCGGGGGCCATCGGAGGCCATCGGGAGGGTCCCGAGCTGGCGTCCCTGTGTGCGGGGCCGGCGCTTCCACGCCTGCGGACCCAGGGGAGCCCGGGCACGGGGAGAGGACCGGCCTGGATGCGGGAAGCCCTCCGGGGCCCCCGAGACAGGAGGACACGTAAGAACCACAGTCGCGCGACCCTCTCGCCCCCGCCAAGCTGTGTTTACCGAGAAGAGCCTCTAATTTTTCAGAAAAAGGAAAGGAATGCGCGTAAACGTAAGGCCACTTCCTGGAAGAAGCTTCCCTCCGTCGGCCAGCCTGGGCTTGGCGGAGGGGCCGCAACGGGAGCGACGCGAGGCCCCTGTGGATAATGTGAATCCTTGTGACGCGTGCGGTGTTGCGTCTGGACTTCCTCTGCGGTGCGCGTGTTTGAGTGACCGCGTGAGCCGCTCGTCACAGCAACGCGCGCACAGCTGGGTCGTGTGTGTTGTTGATGTTCTGCCTAATTGCACGCGGCCTTGGGATCAAGGAGGCTCTGGGGTTAAAGGTCTTTGTTGTGCGGGAGGCGCGCGTGCACCTGAGGCGGCGGCGGCGGTAGCTGGAGTTCGTGTGGCCGTTTGTATGGTGCTGATTCCTTGAATAAACTCAGGATTTTACAGTATGTGCGTGTCTGTCCGCAATAACTCACGCCTTCTTCCCCACAGACAGAAATGTGATTCACAGGACCCCCCACGAACACCTTTAGATCTGCTCTGGGCACGGGGTTACTTGCTACGCGTCCCCCCCGGAAAGAACGGTGATGAACCGTGTGTCGAGCACACACGCTGCACACCCGCCTCTGGTCTGTTTGCTCCCAAGGGCGAGGCCCCCGCCTCTCGTGTACTGGGTGCTCGGTGGGCTCTTCTGCATTCGTGCAAGAAGGGAGGCCCCGCTTCCCCGGGATGGGTCTCGTGTGGGGGCAGGGGCCCCATCCCGTCTCCCCGGGGCCTGGGGTCCGAGGCGCTGGTGCCCTGGGAATGCCGAGTCGGTCAGAGAAGTGCCGCGTGCGGCCGCCGACAGCACCCTCGCTTCTCCCTGTGCCGGCAGCTCCGTGGGCCCGGAGGGAAGGTGATGGGCGGCCTTCCTTCTAACCCGCAGGTGAGGGGCTGAAGGAGGAGGGAGGAGTCTCTGAAGCCCTCGGGGCCAGTGGGACAGGAAGGGCCTCGGGACGGGGTAAGCGAGCTTCCGGGTTTTTCTGGGCTCCAGAGACGCAGCAGAAAGGCAGTGAGCTGCAGTTGGGTCACCTTCCCGGGGCCGTGGCGGCCTGCGGGCTCCAGAGGGGAGACGTGGGGTCCTCTCAGAGTTGGGCTGCAGGGCTTCCTCCAGACCTGGGGAACATTACTGAGCCCACTGAACCCCAGCCCACCCCCTTCTGCCCCTCCAGGCACTCCCAGGCCTACCCAGGAACTTCCCCTCCCCCTCCTCCTCCCTGCAGCCCCCTCCCACACTTCCTGGCTCTTCCATCAGGCCTGGCTGGTGCTGGGCCGCAGAGCCACAGGTCGGGTTACTGCCCGAGAAGCCCCCGCCCTGCTGGGTGGGACCCTCAGGCCCAGAGGTCCCGGTCTCCTTGCCTGGCCACTTGAAGAAGGGAGAAGTCAGGGGGAGGGTCCCCGAGCCTGGGCTGATGGCCCAGCCAGCCCTTGAGGACATCTGGGGTGGCTCTGGAGGCCTGAGGCCAAGGCTGGGGAGGGGAGGCAGCCGCCCTCAACCCGCTTCCCCACCTGCTGAGTGCCTGTCTCCACCCTGCCTTGTGTGCCAGCAGGGAAGGGCCAGGTGGGGGTGGGGGCCAAGAGGTGCGGTCCCATGCGACCTCCACGCCTCGGTTTCCCAATCTGTGACACAGGTTATTGGAGGATTGAGGGAAGTAAGCCATGTAAGCGTCTCTTTGTGGGGATGGTCTCCTGGTCTCTGTCCCCAGGGGCTCTCCTGCCCGTGACCCTGGGCCTCTCCCGCCCGCGACCCCCGGCCTCTCCCACCTGCGACCCCCGGCCTCTCCCACCTGCGACCCCGGGCCTCCCCAACCCGTGACCCCGGGCCTCTCCTGCCCGTGACCCCCGCCCTCCCCTACCCGCGACCCCGGGCCTCTCCCCGCCCGCGACCCTGGCCTCCTCAACCGGCGACCCCGGGCGTCTCCCCGCCCGCGATCCCCGGCCTCTCCCCGCCCGCGACCCCCGGCCTCTCCCCGCCGGCGACCCTGAGCCCAGCACTTAGCACCTCCGGCTGGTTTTCCAGCTGCCGCAGTTGGACGTCCCCTGTGGCCGCTGGGTGGTGCTCCCGCGAGCCGCAGGGACTTACCGAGCCGGGCCACATCCTGAGGCAGGAGAGGAAATGCCGCTAGTCCCACTGTGTGCACGGGGCATCAGGGTGGCAGAACCAGTCTGCCTGGGGTCTCAGGGACACGTTGGCAGAACCACACTCGGTGAGGCCTGTTCTGTGACCGTCTGTCTGTCCGTCGGGCAGGCGATGCTGGGATGGCCTACGGACCGTAGCAGACGCTCCCGTGAACACAGCCTCCATCTTTAAGTATTGATGGTGGTCCTGCCCCACGCCAGCCACCCTGCTCCGTCTGGGCTCACGGAGAGGACGAGCACACGCGCCCTAGCCTCCCGACAGCCCCGCGCCCCGTCCCCTGCCCCCTGCTGGGGCTGCACCCAGCGCCCACCCACGGAGCAGCCGTCCGCCGCGGATGCCACCGCGCTCCGGTCACCCTGTTGCTCACGCGAACGCCGAGGCAGAGACTGGGAAGCCCTTCGCGGGTGGGGTGGGGACGAGGCAGCGGCAGGCGACCGTCCACAGCGCGTGCAGCGGCCCACGGGGCCCGGGTGTCGGCCGGGCGCCTCCCACAGCCGGCAGCCAGCACTCACGCTGCATGGGCGCCCCGCGGCCTCGCCTCCTGCGCTGGGCCGCTGCTGAGCCGGACGTGCCGGTGCGAGGGCTTGCCCCACCGTGGCCCGTGGCCTCCGTGACGCCCGCATCCCCAGCCCCGGTTTCCTCCTCGCCTCGCTCCTCTCAGGCAGCGCCCCCACCTGGTGACACGCTACGCGCAGGAGCCCTGGCCCCACCGTGTCGGGAAACCGCCCAGGGGCCCTGGGGCTGCTCCCTGGCCTGTAACAAGCCCATCCTGACCTAACCCTGGGCTCTGAGCAGCCAGGTCTCTGTCACACGCCCCCTGCGGCCACGTGGCTGGACCAGGGGGAAGGTGGCTTCCCAGAGGGGAATCGAGGCCCCGCTACCTGAGCCGCGGGACCAGATGGCAGCCGGGGCAAAGCTGCCTGTGCGCCTCCAAAAGCCCAAGTTTTCCGAGACTGGGCAAGTTCGTGCAAGGTTCGCTGCCGTCCACGGAGACGCAGGGACAGTGGGGGCCGTCCCTCCTCCGGAGGCCTGAGCACGGGGTCGAGAGAGGAGAACAGGAGCTGTGGTTGCGGCTGAGGGGCTGACTCCTCCTTCCCGAGCCAGGGCTGCTCTGGCCTTCACGGAGGAGGCAGCTTTGGGAATCAGACCTTGACAGACGGGTGGGGCTGGGGGGGGGGGGAGAAGGGGACAGCACGGCAAGGCCCCCCAAGGAGGGCAGGCCACACGGTGAACGTAGTGTGATCAGGTGCGGGTGACCGAGCGGCACGACCCACCCCCACGGTCACCTCAGCCCCTGGCCGCGTCCACCCTCCTGGGACGCGTGATCGCCCCAGCCTCAGGCTCCAGCATCCCGCTCTTTCCTCCGTGTCTACGCGGGGGGCCCCTGCCATGCGCCCGGCCGCATCTGGTCCACCCTCTCGAAACCCAGCCGGCGAACGGTATGCAAGGGCACAGGCGTGGGTCAGGATCGCCGCCCCAACAGTGAGCGGGGCCCAGAGGGGACCTCGAGGCTCGCGGGACGGCACTTCCTGAGGCCGAGCCTGCGACGGGCCGAGGGCCCCACGGGCACCCTCTGGGTGGCCGGCTCCGTCCTTGGCGGCCTCCTTGCCGTGTCAGCTCCGGTGATGGACCGTACAGGGCAGACGTGTCACGGGAGACGTGCAGAGCCTCCTGGGGGTCAGAAGGAACTCGCAGAGGCACAGCCCACGGAACAGGGGCGCCCCCCGAGGACAGTGAGCCTCTCCATCAGCGTGGATGCCGTTGTCCTTGCCCCTGCAGAGAGGCGAGGCCCGAGGCCCGGCGCAGAGCAGCGCTGTAGCCGTGTGGCCCGTGGCCCGTGTGGCAGGACGCCATCCCTCGGGGGGCACTGCGCAGGCTGCCAGTGTTGGCGTGAACTCACAGTCGCGTCAGCTTCAGGCGGGAACACGCCCCAGACTCCCCGCGCCAACTCCGGGGCCTGTCCCCGCTGCACAAGCAGACTCACCAGGGGAGAAGGCCTTGCTCTTTTGAAGCGTCAAGACCCCTCGGAAAATCGGGTAGAAACTGCGGGCTTTTCCTCAGGAAACACCTGCACACATGACGTACACATACACGTCTGCATATGGATGCACGCACGCACTCACACACGTACGCACACGGGTGCGGTTTCGGGGGCTCACAGTCCCTGCACCCAGGCAGGCAGGAAGCCCGGGGGGAAGGCCGCCTCCCCCAGCGTCCCTGGCAGGTCTGTGCGCCTAGCAGGGCCCCGCTGCAGGCGTGTTCTCATCGTACTCTGGGGTGCACGGAGGGGGGTCTATTGCCCCTTTCCTGCCGAGCAGGGTCAGTGGCTCTGGACCCGACGTCCGGGTCTGGTGCACCTGTTTCCTCGGACTCCGCGGGCGCGCTCCTTTCGGTGCGTGAGAAACCTCTCCGGTCCCCGCCCCCGATTTGCAGTAACTCAGGGTGGGGAGAGGAGCGGAGAGCCGCCCGCACGCCGAGCTTCACTGCAGGAGCCAGGGGGCTTTCGTCAAGCTTCACTTCCTTCCTACGGCTGCAAGCGAAGTCAACTCTGAGGATCACAGGTGTTCTGTTCCCCGAGTATGAACATCAGGACGTGGAGACACTTAAACCATGTCGGCGGCGGCCCGCAGGGAGCAGCAGCGCGCGAGGACCCCACCGCCCCCCGACGGTCCCTGCGGGCCGCGCACACCGCCCTGTGCGCGCCCGAGTGCCCTGCTCGGGTGACCCAGACTGCGCACTCTCGGGAAGGCCTCAGGCCTGAGCTCTGGGGGTCGCGGAGTCCCCGGCCTCTCAGTAGTTCGGCTTCACGACGCAGCTTCCCCTCAAAAGCCGGCAGCACTGCCCCGTCCTTATGCGCCTCCCGCTCCCACCCCAGCGAGCCGTGCGGAGATGGGGTCCTTTAGAGCCCACCCAGCGGTGCGCGCGTCCGTGGTGAAGGCGGGGCCGACAGGCAAGTCTGCTCCCGGCGTGGGCCCCTGAGCGGCCTGGCTTCCCGTCTGCTCCCCGGGCCCGTGTGCGCAGCCCCCTCAGGTCTCAGACCCTGGTAAACCCCGCCCGTGCTGGAGAGCTGGAGCGCGCGCCTGTGGCCACAGGAAGGGCTGCGGGCGTGCTGTGTGCGCCTCGTGCGCGCCGTGGGTCCGCTCCGCGTGCGTGCGGTCTGCGCTGCGTGCGTGCTGCCCGTGGGTCTGCTGTCCGCGCCTCGTGCGCACCGTGGGCCCGCTCCGCATACATGCTGTCCGCGCCTCGTGCGCACCGTGGGCCCGCTCCACG